TCTATATCGCTCACATTTTCTTCTTGCGCTGACCCTCTACTAGAAACTGCGTCGATTAAATAACTATAATTCTCTCGGTGCAGTAATCGCCGGAATCAACGGAACACCCGTGCATCGACTGTCGCAGACGCGCGATTCCGTGCCTGTTCAAACGCAAAAAGATTTCATGAGGCTGGTTATCCTCATGGGGACACAAAAGAGTCACTTTGCATATCGCCTAGCATGGGACAATACCTTCTCAGAAAGGATCCCATTCCTCCCACTGCATCGGCGAGATCTGGTCTCCGCTGAAGAGGGGAACAGAACGTTTATAGGAGAAAACAAGTCTAGGATCAACTGGCGGAAATTTGAGGTGATGGGGGAGGTTGTATTGGGTATTCAGCGCAGCCAGAAGACACCTTATCCTCATCTACAAAGGTATGAGGACGCAGCCAGACTGGTACTTGATGTCAAACTATCGGGTGACGATGAGGTTAGTTTTATCCCCTCCCACGTTCCATTTCTACGATTTGCTGACCAGCCTAGGATTTGTATGCACGCAGTTCCCAGGTCGAGCCATCTGCTGGCGGCGAGACGGGACGCAAAAAGTTCGGCTGGTTACGGTCGTAAAAGGGCATGATGGAAGATTCCTCTTTTCTCAAATTTCTGTTGTCATCTATGTCCATGAGGGTAACGATTACATGACCCAGTCATACACTTGTACTGACGAGATGCCTGATGAATGATGATGATCGTCTGGTCTATGATGTACATACATATCGACATGTCTAAATATATTATTCCTGCTACATCTAACATAGCTCTATCTCATACACATAATTTGTCCCAATAGCGTCACGTGATCCCATACAGAGAGTAGTAGACGGAGGTAAAACCATCCCCGAACGATCCACCACAATCACCAACCAAATAAGCTCCTCAGCAACACCTCCAAAACACCCAATACAAACAAAGATAAAGAGCCAATACCAAACGTCACACTATAAAAAGAAAGAAAGAAAACTCAAAATGTCCCTCCAAGCCCAGGCAAGATCCAGCTACCGCGCCCTCCTCCGCGAACTCCCACGCCGCAGCCTCTCAAACCCAACGCCTCTCCACAACCGCATCCGCGAGCTCTACCGCGACCAGATCAAATCGGCGAACGAAGAAACGCTGCATGCTCATATCCAGGAGGCGGAGCAGGTGGCGCAGTATGCGCGCGCACAGCGCCAATATCTTGCGCTTGTTGAACGGTATAACCCGGGCATGACGTTGGATGAGCAAGAGAAGATTAGGCTTACGGCTAGACGGGTTGGAATGAATTTGCCTATTGAGGCTAAGGATCGGAAGGAGGAGTGAAAGATTTAGGGGTACACTGGTTGCACGGGGTGGATGGGGGTATGGTGGGGAAAGAAAAAGTTATGGTGGTAGAACTTGTGGGTTCATCTATACGTGGAGTTCGGGTGTCATGTATGATTGTGTTATTGTGTCATTTATAGATTGTATATTATTCTATGGTATCTGGCTGACTGAGTATATAACTCATGTGAAGTCCGTTCATTCATTGTGCGTCTGTCTTCGTGATGTCTTTGGTGTTGCACCATGTATAGTAGTGGACCGTGCGGCGTCGCGGAGGGTACTCTCTGCGCTTAATGACGGGCTTATGTGTGGACGACGTTTGTCGGCCATCGGTGACAGCTGTAGCCCGTACATGTGTCTGCATGTAGCGATCTGGGGATCTACGACGGAAAAAATTGGTTGATAGCAGGTGGACTCAGCCACCCAATTGAACCTTTTCCATCTGTCGCATGAGTGTGCTGCTGCTTTCTTCATCTTCCAACCCAACGCCCACTTCGATCGCGGTCTTGGGCCGGTTCTTATTCAGTCCTTCGAGCAGGGTGCATGCCTTGCAGATCTTCTGACTCGATATATATCCGCAACGCTCGCATATGCCCATCGTTTGCGTCTTAATGGTCTTCTGCGTTGAGCCCTTGATCCCCTTGTTCTGCTTCTTACGAGGAGCGGGAACATTCTGAGCCGGCAGCTTGATCTCAACCTCTCTCGATTCCGCCGCTTCATCATCAGCCAGCTTCTTTTCCATCTCCGCCATCTCGCCACCACGCGTCCGGCCATTCTGACTGCCACATCCACCGGCCGACTCGTCATCCGCAGCTCTAGCACAGGCTTTACCCTTAACCTCCGCAGGGACAAGCTCTGCCATGTCCTCCCCACTCTTAACAATATCCAAAATCGAGCTGGGCCGAATCTTCTCCAAATCCTTAATCAGCGTCCGTGCACTACCCCGAAACGCCTCAGGCGAGTAGATACACTCGGTACTGAAATAATCCAGCTGCTTATGGTGGGCATAGAGCACAATCTCCTTCTCATACGCATACTTCAAGGGCTTACTGCGCTTGATATCTGACGCAGCTGAATCCGTAACGATACTCGTACCCCTCGACAAGCGCGGCAGATCGCCCCGCAGCAGATTCATCATAACCGTCTCCGCAACATCATCCGCATTATGCCCCGTAACAACATGTTTGATCCCTAATCGCGCCGCACCGCGGTCTAGCGCCTGGCGTCGGAACACTCCGCAGTATGTGCAGTTGCCTTTCTTGCCCACCTGCGCCACGACCTGATCCATCGTCCACCCGTATAGTTCGTCGTACCCGACGATCTCTAGTGGCATGTCATATTGCTCTGCATTGCGTTTGACTGTCTCTAGACTGTCGTCGCGATAGCCTTTGATTCCCTCGTCGATGGAGAGGAGGCAGAGATCAAGGCCATAGTTGTAGCGCTCGTTCAGGGTCTTCAGGACGGAGGCAAGGACGGTGCTGTCTTTTCCACCGCTGGCACCGATGGCGACCCGTTCCCCAGGGTAGAAGAGGGAGGTCCTGGTGATTGTTTCGTGGACTTCGGTTTCGAAAACGTTGATGAAACAGGTTCGGCAGAGCTTTTCGCGGTTCTTTGGTCGGATGATTACTGCCCGGTTGGTTTGACAGTGGAAACAGGGTGAGGGCGCCATTCCGAATTGATTTTTGAGTATTAATTCAAATTGGCTTTGGGTTTGGAGGGGAAGAAAATCAGTGATAATCGATAACCATGATAGGCTTGTGAGTTTGCTTTGTTTGCATTGCGGAGAAGGAAAAATTCGAAATGTTGTTCCAAACAAAAGTAAGCAGAACAAGAAATGACTTCACTGCACAGGAAAATACAATCACAGTTTGATTCTAATTAAAATTTTTGGTATCTCTATACCTATAATATACATAATCATGACCCAACCACATCTAGCTTATTGAGGGCTGTAACAGAGTACAGGAAACATCGAGAGGACTTTACAGCTTCCCCTTGAACAAGTTGGCAATCATCTCCCGGCCCGTGATTCTAGAAGTAGCCCACAGAGTCGGGAAATCCAGAGTGCTGGAGAAAGTATCGGCATATCCGAAGAAGAGCATGGGAGGGATCCAGCCACGGGCATATTCCAGCGCGAAGCAGGACGCATCCATCTTGTATTGCTTCACCTCACCACGTCGGAGGTGGTGCACGCTGCCCTGAGGGTAGACCTCAGGTTCGTAGGATCCAGGGACATAGGCAAGCTGGGTACCCTGAAGGATGTTGAAGTAATCATCCGCAGTGTGACGGCCAGTGTGGCCTTCGGTGCCGATTGCGGTTCCTGAATTCCGAGGTGGTTAGCAAGAAGGGCATTGTATGGGCGCGCCGTTGGAAATGGGTCTAAATGAAGGGGGATGTGTGGAGAGGAAAGAGTTCGAGAGCCGCACCAAAAATAATCAAGTACTCCGTGATACCTGGTTGAATGTTAGCAATTTGTAGGACTCGGAGGACGGAAAAAAGGAGATGGATTCCGCTTACTAGCATGAATAATATACATGGCACCCATGGCACCACCGGCGTTGTTGAACACCCATTCCTCTTCCCTGTTCAGGTGGTTTCCGGGGACCTTCTCATCTAGCTCCGAGACAATGTAATTTACAACGGCACGAGTATCGTTTCCGTGGGCAGCAATTGCACGCTGAGAGAGATCATGCAACTGGCCGGGTTCGAAGATGTAAAACTGCTCGAGACGCGCATTGAGGTAATTGTACAGGCCGGCCAGAACGGCCAGTAAGGTGGCCAAGAGGGTGAGGGTACGCATGAGGAACGAATTGGATCAAACGGGGTTCGGAGGAATTAGTTAGTCGACAGGAGATGGAAGGAATGCAAGTTGAATCCGAGGGTGTCAGATGGATCAGGAACAACAATAACAAACGTCGGTGGCCCGCGGAGTGCGGTACTGAAAGGGCTTAGCGCGGCCCCGACTTGGGTGTCTTGGCTCTGTGGGGATTTTTTACTCTTCTCCTACTTTATTTCTTGCGAAGCTCCTCCCGAATATCCCCTGACCATTTATGACTACCGGTATCGCTTTCACGAATGCCGACTCAGCAAGGTCAATCTCGGGAAATCTTTCTGTTGGCCAGATCTCTTATATTGGGCTATATCTGGTGCATTGTTCCTTCAAAATCACTTTGAAGACGGAGATGTCTCCGTCCGGCTCACATGTACTCCGTAGATCGTCATTGTGCAGTCTTCTCAACAATGACAAACGTCATCCAACCTGTCTCTCCGATGTTCACCCGTATAGTGGCTCACCGGATAATTAATTTCCTTAGCGATAATTGATGGAGTTGACTGTCTCAGGATGAAGAACTTTAACTCCATGGCTCCACGCTTCAGCGGGTCCGCCGGATACTTCAAACACCGGCGCATCGCATTCAACGCTTGATTTAGGCCACCATTCAGCGCTCGTTCCCTCTGGCATGAGGGTTGAATCCTCTAATCCCAATATGCCGAATTAACCGGAGATTAATCCACGGTTCAGTGTGTTTCTAACTGAGGACATGTCTGAGAGGAGCAGGTATATATACCGGCTTCCAGCTCCGGATCGACAGCCAGAGGTGTCTATCCAACGAGCCGAAAACCTAGACATACAGTTTTAGCCATCACTTGATATATCCAAAATGAAGTTCACTCCTCTTGTTCTCGGCTCTCTCGCCTCGGCTGCCGCCCTCAACCGCCGGGCGGATATGTGTGGCCAATGGGACACTACCACTACCGATAAGTTCACTTTGTACAACAACCTCTGGGGTGAGGCCAATGCGGACAGTGGTAGCCAATGCACCGGCCTCGATTCGGACAACGGAAACACTATTGCCTGGCACACGAGCTGGAGCTGGACCGGTGGGGCTGGCCAGGTCAAAAGCTTTGCCAACGTCGCTTACAACTTCGAGGCCACTCAGCTGAGCCAGCTAAGCAGCATTCCCAGCACATGGAAGTGGCAGTATGTCGTCATATCAACTAGTTTTGTTTAGTTGGGTACTAACTTCCCCTAGGAACACTGGTTCCGACATTGTTGCTGATGTCGCATATGATCTCTTCACCTCATCCAGCGCAGATGGAGACGAGGAGTACGAGATCATGATCTGGTTGGCAGCCTTGGGCGGTGCTGGCCCTATCTCGTCGACCGGATCTACGATTGCTACCCCCACCGTGGGCGGACAGAGCTGGTCCTTGTATAGTGGCCCCAACGGCCAGATGACAGTGTTCAGCTTTGTCGCCTCCTCCACGACCGAGGATTTCTCGGCTGACCTGAACGACTTCCTCAAGTATCTGCAAGAGGAGCAGGGCCTGCCTTCCAGCCAATACCTGACCCATGTGCAGGCGGGTACTGAGCCCTTCAGCGGAAGCGACGTCAAGTTCACCACCTCTTCCTACTCTGTCTCTGTTGCCTAATCGCCATCCTGTCAGCAGGTTTGGTGACAGTTTTGTAAATAGTTTGAGGCGATGCTAGGCGCCGTGTTTCAGGGACTGTCAGGGATCGCGGGATGAATGGAGGGGAAAATGTTCGGGATATACATACCTCAGGAAGGAGCCTGAATCATCCCGTGTTTTGGCGAGAGGGGTACATGCAGTCTGTTGCATGGTTTATTGTGATTATTTGTGATGGTTTTCTTCTACCCGCTCGCTCCAGTGGAGCTGAGGCATCTAGCTCGTTGGGTATATAGGTTTTATTTAGAAATCAAGGTCGAAACATCTAAATATAAATGTCCAGCGTCTAATGTGACCATCGGATGGAACGAAGCGTTAGAAGTGGCGCCGTATAATTATAGAAAGGCGACTAACTCGTACTAGTAGCGAAGGGTACCTGTAGGGAAAGTACTAGTATCTATCTTAAGATATTAAGTCGAGGGATTTACAGCGTCTGCACAGTCGGCGCTTAACCGCCTGCAGGAACCAAACCCAATCAAACTAACCAAACATCCCAACCTCAGGCTCCAAACCTCCACTTCTGTAGTAGTCAACTTGTGACCAACAGTACATACATCTCAACAGGCATCAATCACCACCCCTCCCCCCAGTACAGGATCATCACTAGTCGCTCCTTCTCCGGCGTAGGGAGCATGACGAAACCCCTCGGGTGTCAATTGTCAGGAATCGTACCCTATTCTGTCATACATACCATCGCATGATTCTTGACAGGATGCGCGCCATAGGATCGTGCGAACGCCCGCCACGATGTAGGGGAAAAAACGCGACCGCCGAAATAGGCCTTCGTGGCGAGCCATCCACTCGATGAGGAAAAAAGGTCGATAACCCTTGATTGAATCGTATCTCGTGTTCGGAGATCTGATTGATGGAGAGCTTATTGCCAATCATCCGCCCCCCCTGGGGTCGCGCGCCAAATGAGATCATGGGGGAGTGGATGGCCGGTATGCACGATGCGCGTCCAACCGCCGTCCTTGCATAGCGATGGCCAGCCTTCACCTCTGAACCGCTGAACCGCTGAACTAACTATCCACTAGCAGGGGATGTCTTGCCCTCATTCTGAGTTTCTGATAGATACTTATATACAGTCACTCACTCGCTGCCTTTGTTCAGCATGGCATTCACACTTCAAGCTTTCTCTCTCTCTTCTCTTTTTATATATCGATCGGTCGGTCTCTTCATAGGTCTTTCATTATCATATTTTCTCTATTAATTGATCGACTTAATTATCACTGAATTAATTTTCCCGTCCAATATTGTCTTACCGCCGCTCCATACTTCGGAAGGTGATCCATCAGGTTGACACGACAACCTCTACATTCCTCTTACCTGCTGGCAGGAATTTTCGCGACTCTCCTAAATATACCCTAGATTTACATTCCTTGGAATTTGTCTACAAGGCAAACATTGCCTCTTTTTATCCGTTGCTCTCGCTCTGTTCTGTTCCCTCTTTTCCCTTTACCAAATGCACACCCTGACCTACCCTCCGTTCTATACCACCGCCGCCATGGAGCAAGTCAGCCAACCTGATCAAATGAACCACTTCCAACATCTCAATCGAATTGCTCTACATGAGTTTGTCCGACTACCAGTCTCTCGTGAGATGGTGGCGCATCTAGCGATGCAAGCCTCACAGGTCATCCGCTGCGAACCTCATGTGACCACGGCCAGCGCTCATGGTCAACCAACACCTCCCAGCACACCTCCATTGGATGCGGTTGATTCTCAACTTCCGCCTTTGCCCTCAGTCGAAATGTTTATCGCATCACTAGTCACCCGCTCTCAGGTTCAGGTTCCCACCCTGATGACCTCCCTAGTCTATCTGGCTCGTTTGCGTGCTCGTCTCCCGCCTGTCGCAAAAGGCATGCGCTGCACTGTTCATCGCATCTTTCTCGCTTCTCTCATCTTGGCAGCCAAGAACCTCAATGACTCTAGCCCAAAGAACAAGCACTGGGCTCGTTATACTACCGTCAAGGGCTATGAGGGATTTGCCTTCTCCCTCCCAGAGGTCAACCTGATGGAGCGACAGCTTCTGTTCCTCCTGGATTGGGATACCCGCGTTACTGAAGAGGATCTGCTCTGTCACCTGGAGCCATTTTTGGCTCCCATTCGTTACCGGTACCAGGTTCAAGAGCGTGAAGCCGAGATGCGCCAGCCCCGCGAATGGCGCCGTCTTCAGGCTTCCGCTGAACTCCTTGCTTGCCGTCTTCGTCGTCAGAAATTGGAAGCTCGCCTTGAGGCTCGTCGATCAGACTCTGTCCATCGTCGCCAGCGACTACCCGCCAGCCCTGCATCGTCTGTGTCGCTGTCTTCCATGTCATCCAACGCGTCCCCGGCTTCCTTGGCGGACACTGATCGCCACAGGCCGTATCGCCCGCGGAGACGCCCGTCGACCCGCAGTGGTGCTTCTGTCTCCCCTCCATCTGCGCAGGATGTGCCGTCATTGACCAGAGTGGATACGGTGCCTTCATTGAGCTCGCGCGCATCTAGCATTGCGCCAAGTTCCCGAAATGCCACCCCTGCTAGTCTGCGCCCATCCAGCTCCATCACCAGCATGGAAGCTGATATTCGAGTGGTTGATGGAGCGGGTAGCCCATCTCTCAGTTGTGGATACATTCCCGTATCTTCGATGACGTCCAACCCCAAGATGGAAGAAATTCAGCAGCCTACCAAGAAGGTCCGCATGAACGGACATGCTGGGCACACTGGGTTCGTGGCTCGATTCCTGGCCTCTGCCGCTGGTTCTTACATGGGTGGCCGAATGCGCTCTCACGTTTAACCATCCTACCTCCCAACTGAGCTGGTCTCAGCTATTGATTAACACCCTCGCCTTTCCATCCCCATCCTAGCACCCCACTGTTATCTAGAATGATAATTTGCTTCTCATGTTTTGTCAGAAAAGCGTCCCCCTGATATCCAGCAATACCCCACCGGTAGGTCTACATTCGTTTGATCATGCATTGCATTGGCGTTGTTGTTTTCTACGTGTCTTTGTCTATGTTCATGCCAGCTCTCGTTCGTTACTATGATTTCCTATGGCACTTTCGTTGGTACCCATTGTTTAGATATCACGCACTCCACCAATCTGTTATGCATGTATGTATGATGCCCTCACTTACAGACTAGTCTATGCTATAATCAAATGCTCTTATACCACAGTCTATAAATAGACAGCGGAGTCGTCTTACATCCCTGCTAGCGTCTCACAAGCGCTCTGTGCGTAGACAACCATTGAAACTCGCACTGCAAATACCTGTGCTGCATACCCCTCAGCGCGTCGATTCCCGATCGACAATGATCAACAAAAACAATCCGTGCCAGGAATTTCAACCGCGACGCTCCAGCAACAGCGTATGCGTACCACATTAGTCAAGGAATGTGATCCGCACGGTCTAGAATCTGCTAGATCCATCGGAGTTGAAAAGCGCGACGTGCGAGGAATTCGCCAGCGGATGATGAGAACACAATTGCCGGATCCCCACCACAGGCTTTTCCGATCAAGACACCGATCGAGATAAATATACACAGTACTCCGTACAGGGGAAGTGGGGTTCACATTCTGCGCTTTGGGGTTTGGATGTGCCGCTGATGATTCTAGACTCTGGTCTTATCTTATCCTTACTTGGGGAGGGTTTTGTAGAGATGAGATATCATGAATCAGGTTGACCGATGCTAATGTTTCATTTTAACCGTCAGGATTCGTGATTGCGAAATTCTTCTTCTTGACTTTTAAATATAAATTTGTGCTTCTGATGTTTGCGTGTTTCAAATAGCAGGGGCTTCCCAGCTGTCGCGTTTGATTTTCATCAGGTTGGACTGTTTGTGTGGGAAGCTTACTTCGCCTTCTTTGTAGAAGCCTGCTTTCTGGAGATACTCGAGGACCCTATTTGTTTTTCTTTTGTTAGTCCTTCTGTGGGCATAACGTTCGGCTATGGAGGGGATAACTTACTTTGTGTTGTCCACTCGAGGCTCTAGCATGACTGTCTCGGTGCGCTGGTCTGAGAGCCAGCAGTAGTGCACCAAGGCGCTCAGCCAAATTTGCACCCGGTGCGCGCCACGGTACTCCTGCTCTCCGACCAGCAGGTGGATTCCCCGGTCGTAATTGCCGCGCCCCCGATGAGCTGTCCCAGACGGTCTTCTTTGACCCAGTAGATCTCGAAGTACCCGAAGGGTTTGCCGTCCCAGCATCCAATCACCGGGAAGCTATGTCGACTTTTCAGGTTGTTGCGGAGAAATTCTTCCTGGTGGGAGATGGGACCGGCCTCTCCCCATGCTGCGCTGACTCTTGGGTCGTTCATCCACTTGTGCAGGTAGTCGAGGTCCGAAGGCGTGTTCGAGACCACTGGGTCACTGGTTGAGGCTGAAGAGGTATGTGCTTTACTTGGTGCCCCTCCCGGCCCCTGAGTCTTCTGTGAGGGGAGGTACGGGACACGGAATGAGAGGTATTGCCCGACGCTGGGAATGTATCGAATGTAGAATACGTCTCCCTGGTGTGGTGGCTTAGGTCTGATTGGGTGTCGGACTCCATTTGTGAAGATGTACTGAGTGGCTGGCGGGGGGTAGAAAGTTGGAAGATTGGTGCTGGAGGCAAACGGCCCTTCGTTGGGTGCGTAGTGGCCAGTGTCGCTAGGCGGAGGACCAGAATCAGCGAGGTACATTGTCTCACGGGTTGGAGACGACAGCTGGCGGGTATGATGCGACGAGCCGGGTACATTCTGCCCTATATTCAGAGGGCTCAAAGAGAAGACGAAAAGACGGGGATCGATTTGCCAGAAGGAGCGTCGGCTCACGAACATCGCCTCCCAGGACTCGTTATCGAAGGCATCCGGGCCTACGGATGAATCCTCGGTGGCAATCAATCCCATCCGTTCCAGCTTCTGAAGTACGTTTCGTCCCTTGAAGATGCCCTCACGCTTGATATTGACCCGCCATTCGCCCTTCGGTCTGCCCGCCACGGGCGTGCGCGACGAAGCCTCCGTCTCAAGGTGAAGGTCGGGTTCGGGCTCGTGGAAGTACCACCAGAGAGTGACCCAGAGCATCATGGCGATCTGGCGTGAAGCGGAGGTGGCGAGTTTATGCTCGTTGTTTGGGGGGCTGACGATGGCTGAGAGGTACAGGCAATCATCCTGCAAGGTCGGTGCTGTGAATCGAGAGCTGTGCGACTGATCGTCACTCTTCCCTCCAGCCTCGCGAGCTCCGTCCTGCGCTCCATCGGATTTCCCCTTCTCCTGGGTATGCTGTCTGGTATACAAGACGATCGTCCATCCTGGAGGGAGTAAGGAGCGACCTAAGTGTGCATCATTGATCCTGAAGGTCAAGCCACCGAACACTGGCGACACTGAGATTAACTGCCCGTTAGGCAAGTGGCAGACGTTGTGGCGCATGACGAGGGATGACCTTTCTAGCCAAGCCAAAGGAATGGGGATTAAGAGAGAAGAGACAGATGAAGGACCGATAGGCCTTAAGAAAGGAGGTGTGCAGAATTCAAAAAAGGACCGGCGTGGAGGCGAGTGGGATGATCCTCCCCATTGCCCCTCATCGCAGCCAACTGATCTCCCCGCTAAGAAAAAAGAAAAAATTAAAAGATCTAATCAATCAGTCAACCAAACTATGAATTGCAGATCAGCAACACTGTTTGATTAGGATCACCACGCCGATATTCCTCCGACGAGTTCATGTCCACGCCAGAAGGGGGGGAAATTGGTTTCAGTTCAGAGATCCTGCAAGAGCAAATTGGGGAGGAAAATGGATGACGCAACAACATTACGCTTTCCTCGAGTTTCAGGTTTTTTGGTCTACAAAACAAACACCACCGAAGATAAGCCATCCATTAGGTATGGTAATAATAAACTAAGCTACACCGGAAAGAAAATACACTTAAGAAGGGGGAGGAAAAAAAGAAAAGAAAAGAAAAGAAAAGAAAGCAAATTAGAAGTCTTCCACCAGGGTGCCAATATTCCGCTGCCGCGCCAGCTGAACGAGATCTCCGCCAGTGACCAAGTCCATCAATCCCATCCCCACACCCTTGAAAATCACATTGCCTCGCTCAGCCCACTCGCGTAAACTTTTGCCATCGTCTGTCTCTTCGTCCTGGTCTTGGGCAGCACAGCGCACCATCAACAGCTCGCCCAGCTCCACAACTTGATTCGGCTTGATCTCGGCCTGAATCAGCTCTCCGGCCTCCTTCAAAGCCGCCTCAAGACTGTCCACAACCACAACTCCGCTACGCTTGACGTGTTTGTGGAAATGCCGATGCGAACCGTGTGCCTTGACCTCGTCGCGTATGATCTCTGGAGGCAACTCGCTCATATGTGGTTTGTACGAACCAATGGCGCTGATCAGTCGGCCTTTCCGGCGGGCTTCGTGTGTTGTGAGTATCTCCCCAGGGAAGAGTGGCTGAATAGATGGGGTGCAGCAGAAGATCGCATCAGCTTTGTTCAGGGCATCCTGCAGGATGCGCGAGTACTCGACGAAGTCGCTGCTAACAGCTGAGAACTTCACGTCCCCCCGCCAACTAGAGTTCTCTGGTGAATAGATGTCTCGCAGAAGTTCTGCTGCCCGATCGAAAGATCTATTGATGATGAAGACCCGTTTGATTTCCGACCCCCGCAATGTCAGTGCCAGTCGTATGTGCCAGTACGCCTGCTTGCCTGCTCCGAAGACTACCACTGTGCGCACTCGCTTGCGCTTGTTGAAGATCATTGTAGACGCTAGTGCCGTGCGGAATGGAGTGAGCTCGTGCGCATTGATCAAGCCAAATGGCATGCTTTGCTCGTCAAGCAGAGTCACGCTGCCCTGTGGGGAGGTGTCTCGGGAACCAGCTGAGGGCCATGCGCCCATTGTGTTGGACATCCCAGTATTGACCGGTTGTTTGTTCACACACCCCGACGGCAGCGACTTGCTACTGGAGCTGATCGAGGAGCTTTCGTCTTCCTGCGACGAGACGGTCAAGTCACTCATGTCGGATGACAGCGAGCTCATGGAATCCCTCGATCCGTGCCGACTCCGTGACGCCGTCTTTTCGCCCTCGGGTATATCCAAACCGGTTTCTACGGCACACCCCGCAGTGCCCCCATCCTGGAGCGAGATCATTTTCATGCCGATGGTGCGGCCGGTACTGGCGGGCATGAATAGCGTCGTGGAGCCATTCTTGCGGGTGATTGCAGTTCTTCGGGGTTGATAGGTAGCGGAGCAGCCCTGTTCCTGGTTTCCCGTCGAGTATTCTCGTAAGGCCTGGGCTAGGTTTTGTTGGAGCGATATAATCTCATCGCGGGTCAGCGATAGCAACAGCGAGCGGAGCTGTGCCTGCGAGAGGATGGTCAACGGCATGGGGAAAATCGTAGTATGATATCCTTGTCTCCACAGTTTACAAAAGGATTGTGGACATTAGGAGAATAAAAAGCTATTGTTGTAGGAAAACGAGGTTCCACGGTTGGTGGAGGAGGGACCGAGTTATGGTGGGCGGGCGGACTTGATAAGGACGGAGGGCTGCGAACGGACATTCAACAATTCACCTGCCAGCCAAAACGGACCTAGACTCAGGGGGCGGGGACAGATTAGAATATGACATACTACCAGTATATAAAGATCCGCGACCATTAGCAAAGAAATAGCAAAGAAATTGCAAAGAAACGCAAGCCATCTTGACCGACCTTGGCGTCAGTATCGCATCGAATGAAGAGGACCGAGAGGGTCGGAGAGTCGGCGTTGAGGACCGTGATGACGACGGTCAAGCCTCTGGCCGAGCGAATAATGAACACGGAGCGGAGACAAGACCCATCCACTCCAGTGTACTAGTCCCCGGTGGACAACAATGCTATCTTGCTACTGTGCAGTATGTATATGTATTCAATGATTTATGCTTGCCATGGCATAGCTTGGATATAGTGCGGTTACCGGCCCGGATTCGAAAACATCCCCTCCGCCGCAAAATCACAAAACGCCTCGATTCAAAAGAAAAAAACTTCAATAGCCAAGAAAACAAAGGCAAAAAGGCAAAGAACCAATCAAAATGTCGTGTCTCGCTATGTCCCCCACATATCATCATTATCCCGGACTATATCATCTTCATTAAGGACCCGTAATCCGCTTTCCTTGGCTTCTCGTTTCCTCTGCCGCTTGGTGACCATCCGACTGGGTGTAAGCGGCGTGACTGGCGTAAATGGCATATACGGGCTGTATGGCGTGGGCATCCCAGTTCGAGGACCATTCATAGGTTTCAAGGGGCGCTCCAGGACGGTCGTCTTGGTGGCAGGCGCACTTTGTTGCGGGTAGGCGTCACGGAAGGGCAAAGAGGATGAGCCGTGGCCAGCCACGGACATACTCAAGGGCGCCGGGGCTGGCGCCCGTGGGCCCTTTGACACTCTCTTCTCGCCTGCGCCTTGAATTGTCACCACTGGCGGTGTTGGCGGAGGCGGTGGGTTGTAGAATCGCGGTGTCAGGGGAGGCTGGTCCTCTCCATACGACCTGGATGCCGTCACGTCCGGGGAGCCCAACGGGGAGGAAATTGGTAGCTTCCGAAGAGGAATGCGAGGCGTACGGGGAGTACGCGGCTTGCCAGTGTTTGCCTCAGGGTGAGAGTTGTTATTGAAAAGGGAGAGAGAAGAGATCCTGGACAGGCGAGAACTGGCCCTCGGGCTCGTTGGCATCTTCGCTGGAGGAGGGGGAGGTGGTGCTTCTGACAACCTCGACGAACGATCGGTGAACGGGTTCGTTTGAGCACTATCCGGAGAATGAATCTCACTCTCCTTCTCAGCTGCCCTCCGCTCATCATGTTCCATAACAGCGGCGTACAGCATTTCCATTTCTTCCTGCGCTCTGCGCCGGTCCAATGCAACCACCGACTCGTCAATGGTAGACACGCTGCTGTTATTGGCTATATGAGACCGTGGGCCCTTGCCCAAACTGCTCCAGGATCGATTGAACCCGTTTGGCATACCCGGACTGGGAAGATTGGCAGAGATTGGGGTGACTGGGCTTGGATCCATACTGGGCGGAGGCTTGACAGGCTTCATCATTTCTACCTGCAACGAGAAGTTGGACGATTGCACTGTCCTTCTCAGACGACGCCCTACAAAGAGGAGCAATGTCAGGAGGATCGCGACAAAGATTACGTACGCTCCTACAATGCCACCGATTTGGATGGCGAGGAGAGACTGATCCAAGGTATAAGTAGTGGGGTGGCCGTCAGTCCGACGGCTCAGGTTCGGAATATGAATCAGGAGATTTGACTGTTCCTGGGATACTGATCCAGCAGCAACCACAGGAGATAGTAGAGCAGCAAGGATTAAGTGAACTGGCAACATTGCTTGTTCATGGACCCCAGATAGCAAACCTAGTGATTAAGTCTCTTTATTAAACATAGTGGCGGATCGCAAAAGAGACCGCAAATCCTTTACAGAAAGAGACAGAGTGACACACATCCTGAAAGAAGAGGGGGGTATGAGCGACATATTGAAAGACGGGTTCTGAGTGATTGGATGTGATAGTGTGAAGCGCCAGCCATGGAGAAGGTTGAAGTGCGATGGAGATCCTCCCGTTCTGTGGCTCTATTGGTGCAAGTTACGCGCCCATCTGCACATCCGATCACACACGGCTTTCTGGACCACTGGCTGGTCAGACCTCGATCCTGGTATTACTGTAGATTTTTGGAATCTCAGCACAAATAAGATGGAAGTGCTTCGTATATCTTCGGGATGAGGATGTTGATTGGCACATTCTCGATATTCCCACTTCCGTATCACAACCTACAGACTAGTATAGACCTGTCACTTGCAAACTTAGGGCAAATTCAGGGACAGTATTTCTAACTCTGATTAGCTAGACTTTGTCTACTCCCTAGGTCATCCATCTACTTACTTCTGTTTCAGAGACACTCGATAAGCTTAGGTTGCGTCTGCAGCTTCTTACTAGTCTTAGGGCTCCCTGTCACCCCGAAGGAGCCAGAATCACATACAGTAATATACTGGCAGAGGCTACCATAGGTACATCACATCACATCATATGTCCAAACTTAAACAAACCGCTCTTCAACTGTGCAGTGTCAGTCTCCAGTGACGGAGGGGCCGACACCGTAGTCGGTGAAAGTACCCATGATCTTCTAATGCGGAACGGTCTGGGTTTACGACGCTTATTAGACAGGAGCATGACCTTTCCATATCACATGGCACTATCGTACAATATATACATCAAACATATATACACATGGCTGTCCAGCCGCTAATCTTTCTTTGAAAACAAATCCCGCCAGAATTCCTTGAATCCATATCCTTTAGTTTTATCCTCCTCATAAACTTGTGCGGTAGTTGATGTGCTTAGGGACTCGATAATGCTGGACGCTTTAGAGCCTACCGATTGCGAACGACTGGTCCTCTCCGTCGCGCGCCGTTTAATCTCCTCGGCTAAAGTTGGTGCTACATCGGCGTAGCACGTAGATAATTCACGTTCCAGATTTATGTACGGTTTCTGAGCAACAGGTGGTGCCTGCAGGTTGTAAGAGCGAGTGAGAGTATTGAGATTCTTGACTGCTAGCTCATAAAAAGAGCGCTCTGTTGAAAGATACTGGGGGTCACGTAGTGGCGAAACATATGGCAGCCGGGGGGTTTCTTTGGTTTCGACTTCAGACGACGTAGAGGCTAGGTTTTCGTCGTCGTTCGGATTCGTTGCGGATGGCTCGACATTATAAAGCTCCTGGAACGATCGCTCTATCTTGACTTTCTCTGCCAAACGGGCTTCCGCAGCGGCATAGGCCTGAGCACGCCTCATCTGAGCTTCCAGAGATCCTCCTTCACTCGCAATTAATCTAGCCGCTTGCCGTCTCCATTCGGTTCTTAACCGCTGGCGAAACCGATCAATCTCCCTCGCCAGCTCCTGTTGTTTCTCGATCCACGGGGGAACCAATTCTTGTTTTTGAATCATCTTGTTCATGAAATATTCAGTTGTATCGATGAATGCACTATTTGCATTATGGTCGGTCTCTGTATTGACACCTTTCCCTCGTTTTATTCGATCGAATTGGCCGCGCGACATCGCATCCTCTATCCGTTCGTTCGCAAGTGACGCTAACCCTTGGATCGTCATCGGCATTGGTCGACCACCAGGAGTGAACCTCTCTCGCATTTCTCGCCGCATTGCCTCACGTTCTTCATCCGATACCCCAGGGCTTTGACTTAGGGTGTACGTAGATGTGCGGTCTTTGGCTTCGGCGAGGCGGAGACCAGGCGACCTTGAAGACTTGGGAGAGATACGCATATCAACGGGATTTGGTTGTGGGATTTTGTAGGGTACGCGCATAGGTTTCTTCGAGCTGTCCAGCATGCGCAGTGTGACATCGTGAAGGCTCTCCGTTCCCGACCATGGCTCAGCTGCGGCAGTATCTTGAGTTCCTTGACCTGCACTCGACTTTAGAACGTTAGTTTAGGGATCTCCAGCATCATTGCATATGTACATACAGGCATATCGGCAACTGCATGGGCGGCTGCATGGTCACTTTTGAATGCAGTTGCTGTGATTCTCTCTTCAAGTTGTTTCTTCAGATCATCCGAGAACCCCGCGTGTTCCATATTTTTTCGCGCCGAACGGCCTCCTTCAAGCATGGCCTGTTCTGTCATTTCCGATAATCTTCGCGCCATGGCGCCTTCTTCTTTATGTCCATCTTGTAATTGCGTAGTCTCGCTGTTTTCATTCGCCTTCGAATCTGCATCTCGCCACTGGCTTATCGCGGTGAAACATCTCGATCTCGGACTTTTTGTTGTAGATAATGCGGATAGGTTATTGAGGTTGAAAGCTCCCGCATGCCGTTTGCTCATATCCGCCAATATTAAAGAAAAGCAAACCTGAATGAGTTGTAATGACAGTAGCAGATAGCTCTTATCTCCAACGATGGCCCTGTAACTATAGTCAAACTCACAGGACTATAGGGTGTTATGTCAGCCACTTCCGCGGGCAAAATTGCCGAAAATGTCTTGGCACCTCCGAAGGCTTTCCGACATCTTTTGGAACCAGAGCCCACGACTATACATTGACCTGCACCGGCGCTATTGGTGGCATTCCGTCTATCCAATCAATTGAATTTGGGTTCCTTGAGTCGCAGAAGTTCAGAGAGCACCGGAAACACCGTCAATATGCCCCCGAAAGGTGCCACGACTCGTCTCAACCCGGTCCGTCTGCAGACCATCCCTCACCTTCGAGTCCGTCGTCCGAACCAGCATGAGCAGAACCCCTGTGTGACAGTCATGTCTTCGATGCTGAGTATGTTTGTTCCTGCTTCTAATCCCTGTCGCCGGGACTTTCCAAATAGGACTTTTGCCGTGTTCGATTGTCGAGCTTCCGTGTTCCGGGGGCAGCTCATGGGGCTGTCAACAATTTTTCCACCGGGATGATATGCTAACCTTGGTTTACTGATAGGTTGCTGGGCGTCGGCTGGATACACTGCGGAGGGATGCGCAGCCCTTGAGCAGCAATTGAGGCAATGCATGGACGCACCTGTACGTATCTTGATTTCACTCTGCTACGCTTTTACGCCCAACTTCCTGGCCCATGTCCGCTTTGGAATAGCCGTGCTAATGATATCTTTCTTCTTGTAATATAGAAACCGAAGAGCAACAAGAAGAACACCATCAACTACCACCTCATGAGAATGTACCCCAAGGTCGTCGGTCCCAAGAAGAGGGAGGGTACTCTTGGTTAAGAATTCTTTGACTGCAATGTTTGTTGATATCCCGAAGCGTCGCGCATCATACCGGTTATACGATGGTATCAAGCAAGGTTTTTATATTGGTTGTTGGGGGCTCCCGGGATGGGTGATGAGCGTGGAGGCTCTAGATTGAGTCTTGACGGGCTCGGAAAGAAATCTTTATGTATCTGGAGTTATAGGCTTTTCGTTTGCGGGTGGATGTGAGCTTGTATTACGGGCATCCCCTTCTGTACATTACATGTGCTATGTTATAAAGAAAAGAACATGTTTCAATCCTAACTATTGAGAAGACATAGCTAATGATCATAGTGATTGTGGGCATGTCAACACTTGGACACGATCTACGCGGCTTCAAACTTCAACACCAGTTTATCTCCGCGGGGCTTAATCGTATAGGCGTCGATTGCTTCAATGTTTTCGTCGTCTACGATGGACGTCTTGTAGTTGCTGTAGATGGCCGCCGTTGCTAGTTTGATTTCTATGGGTAGGGGTGTCAGCTTGGGGAAGCTTTATATATGGGGAGCAGTGGTCAACTTACCTTGCAAGGCCAGATTGCTTCCAACACACATTCTTCCGCCACTCCCGAAGGCCCAGAACCACCGCCTTCTTTCTTCGAGGTCGGAATCCGAGTTGACACCTTTAAGCCACCGCTTAGGCTGCCATGCCTCAGGATCCGGATACACATCAGGGTTGCGATGGAGCGAGTATGCCTGCGCATTAACTCTGATGTTTGCAGGGATATCGCTGTACCCAGCCAGGGTACAGGATGGATAAGGTGTGACACGAGGCTGTATTCCAGGGATTGGGGCATGCAGGCGTAACGTTTCCGTAACTACGGCCTCAAGGAGAGGTAATGAATCAACCGCTTTTGCCTGAGGCAGGCCCCTTGACGCACTAGGTGGGGGAAACAGAATCTTAGGCTCGAGAGTCAAGAGCTCTTTCCGCAGCTCTTCTTGCAGGTCCGGATGACGAGAAAGCTCCCAGAACAGGTAAGTGAGGGCGACTGCGCTGGTTTCAAAACCAGCAGTGAGCTGGTCATACATTTCGCAGGCAATCTCGATCCGCTGTTGCTCCGGGCTCTCTTCTGTGTTTCCCTTTTGTGAGGACTGCTTTATCATTGCTTGCTGGAGCTGCTTGTATGCCACAGGCTCGACACCGGCGTCGGTCGATTGCAGGCATTGTTCTGCTCTGTCACAGAGGTCTAAACACCAAGCATCAAGCGCCGCGTTGGCCTCATCGCACCATCTAGGAATCAAAGGAATACCAATGGACTTCGTCCAGGATACAAGGCCAGGAACTTCCTGGTGGTAGAACTCATACGGTTTCCTGCCCTGGTAGTAGTGGAGCATCCTCTGCCGGAAGGGTTCATCTTGAAGCCAGTTGGTTCCATTCGCCAAGCCAAAGAGATACGCTGATACAAAGTCTATGGCGAGTGCCTGATTGAGATCATGGACCTCCATAGGCGCGTTTGAGGAGACTGCTTCTTGGATCATTGGAAAGAGGCGATCGAACAAAATAGTCTCCGAGATCAGACGCATATGAGGCGAGGACTGCAAGTATGACTTGCTATAAATATTAGATAACATCCTTTTACGAACAGAATGGGGCTTGCTGCCAATCATGGTAAACATGCTGACGGTGCTTTATAGGATGAAGCCTTTTATCAGCTCTAGTCAAGACAGTCACAGTTTGATAGAGTATAACCTTACCCGAGTGACCCGAATACCCGTGGATACCATTCATGCTTTTCGAATCCGCCTGTGTAAACGGTTTTGATACCACCTTCAACACAATTGATGGATATCTCTGATGGGGAAAGCCGCACAATCGGCCCAAGTATTTCATGGGCAGCCTGGATGGTCCGGTTGTTTTGACTCCGGAAACGCTTCCAGAGCATCCAAGCAGGAGATATAGGAACTGTCCAGTGCGCATTGGGGATCTTGGACAGTGGTGAGAGGAATAGGGGATACACAATACATTTATATAACAAGGTAATTGACAAGACAATCGCTGATATAGCTACTATAGGCGATCCGGCCATGGTTGCAAATGTTCACTTGGCATCAAGATCAGACAAGGGGTGTGACAAAGAGGACTCTAGGAGACTTGTGTGCAACCAGGAGAAGGGATAATGGATACCTTGTATTTAACTGCAAGACTCGCCAGCCATTATCAGGTTGAAAAAGCGGTCGATGCCGAGGGACCCTTGCTACAGGGTGGACCTACCATTAGGAGAAGCTTCCCCCGCATATAGAAACTTTTGACGAGAGGAGTCGAGTTGGCAATCCTTTGGGGAAAAGACACGATAACAAACCCCGTATCCGATGAGTGCCCGGTGATCTAAGAAGACCACTATGAATCTATTTAGTAATGAGTGGCGTCTCTATGGTTGAATTGTTCCTTCAGTCTGCAAACACCCCACATTTGAAGAGACCTGATAAGGAAAGGTTGAAGAAAGTGCGGAGATAAGATTTATTGATTTATCGGAGCTGATAAATAAGCGCAGGATTGAATCTGATTGGAAATTCATTTATGACATAATGCCCGAATTCCCACAACGCAATATCACAATCACGACCCTTGTCTTGTATCTTTAGCTACTAGGTCTTCTTTTTCAATGTGTGTGGGTGTAAAATATCTCCTCTGACAGTTTTTGCCATGAATCCTTTGCCATCCGAAGAGTATTCGAGTGTCTCACACCATGGCCTCACTGCTATGTTCCCAGGCTGATGGTCCAAACAGCCTTTGCCTTATTGTTGATTGCAACATGTCCTAAACCACCGTGGAAAGGACCTTAGAGATATACGTTCACAGACAGATTATGATGTCGGTAATGTTTTAGACTAGAGTACATATGTGAGTCGTGTACATCTACAAACAGTTTCGGATACTCATGTACTTTCAAGGAAATCGCCACTAGACCTCTTCAGCATTCTTCGCCTTTAGAAAACAGCTTAGATCTTCACTATGTTGTCTAAACTACCTGTGGAGATAATCTATCTCATTGCAACTTATCTACCATCTGCCAGTGACTTAATACATATCGCGCAGACCTGCAAACGATTGTATGGGGTTGTATCTGCCGAGGATGGGCGTGTTTTTCGCGCATTTATTGAGCATCGGTTTCCTGGCTTTGTACCGTCTTCATTCTGGAAAGATACTACCCAAGCTCTGACATCTCGCTCTCGAGCTCTGGACAAAAATGCGGTAGTTAGTCGCTTCGTTGCGAAGCCTCCTACTCGTGCTGAATTGGGAATTACAACGCGAACCGACAGACCCACCCTTGGATATCGCCCTGCAATTGATTCATATGAAACCTGGAACGGGAGCACATGGGCGGACCGCAGGGAGGTGCTCGCTTGGGGCGGCGGGCATGAGATTGTCATGAAAATCAAACAACATGGAAAAGCCCGGAATCACCAATGGGCCATTTTCGATGATTTGGATGTCGTCAGCAGCCATGATGACATCTGTGGTCTGCATATCCTGCGACCGGGGCATTATCGCAAAGCGGACGATAAGGAGCATGTAATCTTTGGTCGAATGCGCGGCGAGCTTCTCCATGTTGCACTTAAGCCTAACGAGGACACACATGAATACGTGCAGCGATACCAGACATCTAACTCTGGGCTCGAACATATCGATCTGAGCGAAGGACCAGACCCGATTCTGGCTGCACATGACAAAAATGGAACGATCAATTTTTACAGTACTACCAAGGATGACGACGTGGTTGAACCCTTTGGGCATATTGTAATCGAATCAAGGCTTGCAGCACGTAATAAGTGCTCTAAATTTCTATCTCCGACCCTATTTGCTATAGGCACAGGGCGCTCTGAGAATGCGCTGGCTATCTCTTCCATTTCATCGGAACGGTTGGCGCTGGAGCGAGAGATCAGCGTGCGCTCATTAGATATTGACGTACGGCTTGGCTCTACTGCAAGTGTCATTGTCAATGCAATGGCACCTCTATGCGGACAGGTTACTACGGGGTCCCCTGGCAGTACATTCCTCGCTGCTTGGGGTGATCGTCTAATCAGGTACGATCTCTTGCCCCTATCAATGCTTGTCGATACAGCTGACGATTGCGCAGACTCCATGACGTTCGTTCAAACCGGGCATTCGAGTCCACTTATAAAGACCCAACCGACCAAAACCAAATTTACTCCCTTCACCCTTTTGGCCATGACAGATTTCTCGCAGGAGCCGGCGCAGATGCCGTGGTGAAGATCTTCGATCTCCGGATGCCAAAAACCTACAGTTACACAGATTCCAGGGCTTCTTCCATTTACCAGCACAGCGTGCGCCGTCGAAAAGCCTCAGGAGGAGAGATTGCACCCCCAGTAGAGAGCATCAAGTATCCCCGCAAAGATTTCTCGATGTTCCTGTTCTACGCACCGCCACTGTACCCAAATGCCCCTCGGAGGCGCCAACGTGAATCCACTCCTTACCGCGGTGCCATATACTCCCTGTGCTCACCGTCACCTCTGTCGCCCACGGTATACGCCGGGATCACTGACGGTGTCGTTCGACTAGACTTCATGTCAACTGATGACTTGACTGGTTCGTGCAGGGATTGGTATCGGGAAATGCTTGATATAGACCTAGAAATTCAGGAGGACATGACGATTTACAACCCTGAGCGAGTTCTGGATTTGTCTGGGTACGAACGGCCGGAACCTGATGACACGACGACAACTTCTCCATTGAGGACACAGAAGAGGTTCGCGTATATTGATGAGAGTAATATCAAAAATGAGCAGCTGACGGGTTGGGACCGGAGGTGGAACCCGATGGAAAGATTTGCAGCCTGGAGACGTCGGGATTGAAATTGGATGGCTTGATGACCCCTATAACGTTTTGTTCCTCTGTTGGCATACAATCTCGGAGTGTTGGTTTTTGGTGCTGTTGGTTTGTTGCTTGGTAGTTAACTATCAATATAGGGTGGTCGATGTTTATGGTGGGGACTCTTAGATAGGGAAGTATTCGGTTGGTTCATGGGTTTTTAAAGGTCACAACAGTAATTTAGAGACAATTGTTAAAAATTTTGACTTTTTGTTTAGGTGAAAGTTTGCACGAATAATTGAATAGAAGTCCCAGCTCCATCAGCGCCTTGCTTGTAGTTGTGAATAAAGAAATGGGCAAAACGATCTAAATATGTAAACCTAGATCTAAGGGTCTAAACTTTTGTAGAGCATATTAAAAAGTGGATGGTATGCTGAACATGACGACAGCCGGCACAACCCAACTCGATCCACTAGCCTCAACTTAATCCTCGAACTTGAACGACTTGCCTCCGGAGATATCGATGGGACCACCACGGTAAGAACCACGCTTCTTCTTGTTCTTCTCTTTCGTGAAGCCCTTGCCACGAGTTACCGAGAGATCCTTGAAGGCTCTGTCAGCATAGGCATAGGGGACGTAGTCGTTTGAAAGCAGGTGGTCGGTAGGCTGTTCACTGAGAAGAGCCAGAGGAGTAGGGCGGGCGCCAGTGTGCTTTTTCCCATATCCGGGGGCCGGGCTAGCACTAAACGAACCGGTCACCGGTGTCGAAATGTTAGTAGATTTCTGAGCACCCGAGTCGGAGTTTTGAACTGTTTCACTGCCGGAGGAACTCTGAGAGGATGAAGAAGCCTTGTTGCCCTTTCCGTCTTCCTTGTCCGAGTCGGAGGAAGAGGAAGAATCAGAGTCGGAGTCAGAATCGGATGACGAGTCGCTGCTGCTGCTGTCACTGGCTGAGGACGATGATGAAGAGTCTGAGGGCGAGCTGTCTTCCTTAGCAGCGACCTTTGTCTTCTTATTCTGAGGGGCTTTGTCTGACTCGGATTCGGACTCAGAAGAAGAGGAATCAGACTCGGCCTTCCGCTTAGTACCCTGAGGCTTGGCAGGAGCAGGGGCTGCCGCCTCCTCCTCGCTCTCATCATCAGCATCGCTATCGGAGGCAGAAGAGGAAGAGGAAGATGAAGAGGAAGAGGAAGAAGAGGAAGAGGAAGAGGAAGAGGACGAGGACGAGGAGGAAGAGGAGCGCCTAGATTGTTTCTTCGACTGCGCTTTCTGCGCATCGTTCATCTCAACATCAGAATCGCTCGACTCATCCGAACTGCTGGAACTTTCTTCGCTGCTGCTGGAACTGCTGGAGGTCTCTGATGAGCTGGAATCGGAAGATTCCTTGGTAGCCTTTCCGGTACCTGCCCACTTCTCGAAAATTTCGATCAAATGTGGCACATTCTTGGTGTCGGACGGCGACTTGCTAACGGATTTGCTGACTTGTTCTTTCGAAAAGGCCTTGCTGGTACTGGTGAAGCCAGATTCGATAAGAAAAGCTTCAATCGAGGCGATCAGCTGGGGAGGAATAGATGGTGCGCTCTTGGCCTTTCGAAGCCGAAAATTGTCAGTAAATCAATCCTGGTTGAATGACTAGAACCATCCCACCTTCTTATCCTGAGCCAACTTGGCAGGAGAAGATTTCTTTCCAGCCATAATGATAGTTTTATATTCAGCGTCTCCCAGATACAATGACTGTGTTATCACTGTACGAAGTACTGAACCTTCGTCTATAGGTTTTCAAAGGTTTCCTTGGAGCAAACAATAAAAAAACAAAAAAAAAAAAAAGGGCAAAAAACGCTAAGAAAGCGGTCAATTATAGCGCATTCTGTGATTGGCCAACCAAAGTATCACAGACAGTTTCATTCACGTGGGCCCTCGTGACATGCTGAGTTTCAGCCAATCTATGCAAACCAACAATACTCCACTGGAATCGTGAAGAGGAAAAGTACGACTAAGTTGAGGTTATGAGATGTAATCAATCAAAAGGATTCAAGATGTAGAATATGTGACTATGAATTCCCAATTCTAGGTTCTTCAACTTCGAGTCTATCAAATAGACGGCAGCTGGCTGCACTATATCAACCTCCGGGACGCAGTACATACTCCGTAAGTATGCAGTCACCACGAGCTCTCCGCCCGCTGGTTACTAGCGCCCGCCGTCCATTCCCCCAGTACGTAGCTACTGTACAACTACCGGCTCGCTCCTCTCTGTGGGCTCTTGATTCAACGCCAGCAATCCATGCTGCCACTATTTGGCTTTCTTTCTATACTTTGACATTTCTTTTAATTTTTCTGAGTCAACTACCTCACCAGCCGTCCTCCAAACACGGCGCGCACCGTGTAGCCTAACCCCGATACACCCGATCATGTTCACCTGGCCTCTGGTACCTCCTAAGTAAAACAGGCTCCCGGCAATTGGAAAGCAATAATGAATGGTCGTGATCGCTCGCGGGGCCCGCATCCCGGCGAGATCCCCCCTCAAAGGGATCCGCGTCGAGTCGGTGAAGGTCGCAATGGAGGTCATACTGGGCATGGTGAGGCTACAATGTCGAGGGCTGAGAAATTCGAAGATGAGAAGAGACGGATCATCCAAAGCTGCTTCACAAGGAAAGATGGCGATGGCACGTGTATGTATCTCTCTTGTTGCGCAATGTTGGTTTAGTCGCTTTGCCTTGATTGAAATGGGCTTCGTCATGTCAAATCGTGTATAATAGGTGGCCGCTTTCTCATCTGCCGCGCCTGCTAAGACCTGGACGAAGATCTTTGCACGGCGAAGGGTAGGACCAAGCGCAAACCATGGAGGGTGGATTCGCGGATTGCTTGCTGACTTGTCCTACTGTTCCTAGTGGCTGAATCCTACATAACACATGTTCGCATCACGGAAGATGCTGCGTATCCGTCTTCACCCCCTCCGCCCAATTCCCCGCCCGACAACAAAAAGCCTCGAGCAATAATTGTTGCTGTGAGAAAGTCAGGTAGGTGCGTGTGCATAAGGCTAGAGAAAACAATGATGGTTCGTTTTCGATTGGGAAAACTTGGATGTTAGACGACCTGTCTGCGATACAATCGTTCAATGCTTGGGTACCATCGTCTCCATTGGAACAACAGCAAAAACAATGGGCCTCAAATGTTGGCTTTGTGGTGACAATTGGGAAGCCCTATTACTGGCAGGCCAGGACATCTAAGGAGAAGGAGTTCTTTATCGGTAGTTTGGTGAAAATCTACAAAAAATATACCGCGGGGAAGATACCGGAGCTAATAGGCTTCGATGATCTCGAGCGACAATTTCTTGTGGGCATGCCCCCTCCAGGCCCTAAACACCCTGGCCAAGGACCCCCGCGACCTGATGTGGCACTTCCTCCTCCAGGCCCACCATATTCAGCCCATGGTAGCCGGCCTCAGTCTCCTTACTCGAGTCGTGCACCTAGCCGGGATGGGCCTCGTCGGCTACCCTCTGAAGAGCAATCCCTAAGAGCCCAACGAAGTCGGGATCAGATGGGTAGACCATCTACTGCCCAGTCTGGTCAATCTGGGAGAAGCATCCCCCCACCGCCTGTACCGCCTCAGCACCCCCGCCAGTTCCCCCTGACCAGCGAGACCAGCCACCTCCCCGCTCAACTGAGCGCCTTGCATCTGAAAACCGTATGCACAAGTCACCTGTATCTCCCGAATCGAGGGGCTTGGACATTCCTACCAGTTTACTGGCCGCTTCGGCTTCGAATCAGCGGGATCGACCCAGTGGAGAGTCTGAACGTAACCTAGTTACACGCCCTGAGGTCCAGCCACCGCCATTACGCGATGGGAAAGGTGTGCCAGAGCCAAAGCCTCGCACTGAGGATTTGGCTTTCAGCTCGCCTAAGCACAACAAAGACGGTTCCCGGCCTACCACGCACAATCGGTTCCGAGTGAGAGTCCGAATGCCAACCCAAGTCCAGCAGGCAACCCGGGGCCTAACCCAGCTTTCAATGAAGGCAGTATCAAGAAATCCAGCCCCGAGGCTCCCACGGAGTCTTACGACAATATCGCTCCCGAACACACTCCCGATACGCAACCTGTCGAGATACCACCTGCGTTGAAGCTGGCCACGTCAAACGCTGCCAACGCTCAGACGACCACCGATGTTACCGAAACAACAGCACCTGTAAGCAAGACGGAATCGCAACCCAGCGAATTGGTCCAAGAGGGCGGGCCGATCTCTCCGCCAGCCAGTCCCCCTGAGGTACCCACATCACCTGTTGAAAACGAGGCGGATGCACATCGCCCCGGCCTGGGGCCTATGATCAAGAAAAAGCAGAGCAAGGAAGCTGTCGGGGCATTTCGCAAAGCCGCTACCACTTACGGCGCTTTCAAGCCGAGGCCTGGTGGTGCTGGTGAGAGACTATTAGCAGCCGCAAGGAAACAAAAAGCTGAGGAAAACAATGGGCCCGATGGAATCACTGGAGTGGTGCCCGCGCCCTCACTTCGTACAGCCATTGAACCTGTGGTATCCCCCGAAACACCGGATAAAGAGATACCAGCCCTTCCATCTCCAGCGAAGGAAGTGCCCTCTCCAGCCAAGTCTCCTATACTGGAGCCACCAACAGTTGAAGTAACTCAGGCTGCCGCTGAAGAAACTACTGTTACGTCGGTGGAGACTCAGGAGGAACCGAGAGACACTTCGAGAGCTACCGTGAAAGTCGTTACGGACGATCGAGCGAGGTCTGTGTCTCCATCTCCTGATGGTCGACGCCGCAGACGCCACGAAGACAATACCATCAAATACTGCCAGGCGCTTGGGATCGATCCCAGCAGTATAAGTGGACGTGGTGCAGACTTTGACGACATATTGACTGATCTTGGGTGGAATGGACGCTTGAATGATGAGAAGAAAATCGAAGATCTTGAGGCGGATATCCGCCGTGAGATCGGTCGTGTTGAGGCTACCAGCTGGCTAGGTAATCTTGAGCAGCAAGAAGGAAAGATCGACCAGCTTGCCAAGTTGATTGATAAGACTATCGAAGAGTGTGAAGAGCTGGATAATCTTCTAACTCTGTACTCGCATGAACTCAATGTAAGTCACCAAGCCCGCACAACGAATATTCCGTCACTCTGTCTGTACATGCTGTTCTGCGTATTTTCTAACTCCGCGAACAGACCCTTCATGATGATGTATCATATATAGAAACGCAGTCTCAAGGTCTGCAAGTACAGACCGCCAACCAGAAACTACTCCATAACGAGCTTCAAAATCTGCTGAAAACTCTTTCTATCTCCTCTGTTGACTTACGCTCCTTGAAAGAGGCCTCGCTCAGTAACCCTGACGGGCTAAAGGATACTGAGACTGCATTGTCAACGCTGTATAAAGCTATGTTGATGATTGATTCTGATATATGGCAGAATAAGAGGCGATTAGCCGATGCGGCTGGGGATCACGGCAGTGTGGGTGTGTATGCTGATACGGAAATTGGCCAAATGCGTGCGATCAAGGAGAAGAAAGAGGAGTATCGCTCACAGTCCCGGTTGTTCTTGCAGCGACTTAAGCAGTTTATGGCTATTGCTTACAAGGTTGCTGAACAAAAAAGGGTCGACACTGCTGCTAATAGCACGAGAGATCCTATGAAACTCGACAGTCGAGCACGAGAATACTTCCGCCGGGAGCTGTGGATGTATAATGCCTTGATGCTTTTCGCAAAGGAAGTCAGCAGTGCAGAGTGGCATGGGCTTATCAATCTGTACGAACAACAGGCTAAACAACCTTACCAGAATGAGTTTCGGGACAATAGCCTTGCTTGGAAAAAGGCGTCGAGAAAGCCCTCTGGAGAGGAGCACGAGCTTCTGTTCACACATCAGGAGAAAGAGAAGGAAAATGAAGGCATCACACTGGCTGCCAGAAAGTTGACCGTGAAACGAGGAAAGACTATGAGGGCTGCAGCGGGTCTACGGCTCCCTTCTGGTGACAAACAGCATGGACGTCTGGAACCTTATGAAGCGTTTGCAGGGGCTCTTCATGAGACCTTGAGCATGATATCAGAGGAGCAGAATTTTCTAGTTCACTTCTTCCACCTAAGCTCACTGTCGCACGTCGATTTCCCTGACCTCGTTGCATCTGCTCACCCTGAGGAACGCCGGTTACCCGACTTTGGCGCCAAGCAGTTGCACGATACCGATCGAGGAATGGCAAAGAAGGTGGAACAGATTATGGACGAACTATTTTCATTCTGGCCGAACGATATGCAGAACCTTGTGGATTTGTCCATCCAGGTTGATCCTCTGTAAGTACATCACGAAGCAACCCCTTTCTTGCCGCGCTAACTTGTTACAGACAAGGAATAGGCATCCTGTTTGCTTTGGAAAAGGCTGTTCTGGATTTTGAAGACACCAACCAAGACTTCATTGTTCATTCACTCCAGAAACTCCATTCCCGGTTGATTGGTCTCTTTAATCGCTTTGTGGACGAGCAGATACGTGGAATTGAAGACACCAAGGTTAAGGTGAACAAGCGCAGGGGGGTCATCTCCTTCATGCGCGTCTTTCCCCATTTCTCCGCGGCTGTTGAAAATATGCTGTCACAGCCCGCACACGAGTTCTGTGATATTCGAATCAGCGTTAACGAAGCTTACAACCGCATCAACCGTGCCATGTGGGAGTCACTTAAGTTTATCGCCAAAGAAGCTCCTGGTCAACCTCACGGCGCAGCGGCAACTTCGGGCGACCCAGAAGACAAGGAGGCACTGAACTATCACATACTTCTGATCGAGAATATGAACCATTACATTGAGGAGGTAGATGTTCGAGGCCTACCGGTGCTAGAAAAATGGCGCGAGCGGGCTTACCAAGATTACCATGAACATATGAAGCTTTATCTAGACTCTGTCATTCACCGGCCACTGGGCAAGTTACTTGAGTTCGTGGAATCAGCGGAAAGCTTATTGGCGACCACAAGCAACCCGGCAGATATCTCGAGCCGCCCTAGCCATTCGCGCTCGGTAGCGAAGAAAGTTTTAGCCATGTACGATGCGAAAGAAATGCGGCGTGGTATTGAGGCGCTCAAGAAACGGGTGGAGAAGCACTTTGGCGATGCCGATGACCCTGGACTCAGCCGTAGCCTTGTGTTGAAGGTGCTGCGAGAATGTGAGAGTCGGTATGAGGGGGCGTATGATCGCACTCGACGCGTCCTCACTACGGTGTACGAAGGCCAACTAGACCTCGAATGGCGTATGGAGGATGCAATTACCATGTTCAAGAAATAACCGGATGCCCTGTGTACTAACAAATCAGCACCTCTTCTCTGTCTGCTTGGGTGTTCATTTTTCCCTCTGAGATTCTGCCTTCTACAAGTACCCTTTCTCTTTTCTGTTCTATTTGCACTGGTTTGCTGGATGGGGAGCAACGGAAGCATTTATCCTTGTCCATGGGTCATAGAAATGGGGCGTCTGGATTGAGTAATACTGCGTTATATCACCGTTCTCATGTTCTTTTTTGCCTTAGTTTATCATTCTCCTGCATGATCCATGACTATTGGTGGTATATAGGTGTCTTGGACATCTTGAGGAGGATAGTGATATGAATGTACTATGACCTTGTCACCACTTTGCTGGAGCTTTTATCCTCCATAATGGGCCATATGCGTACAGAGACTGGTTGTTTCAACCAGGCAAGGTGACTGGCGAACCAGAATAACCTTCCCACTGGGAGGTCAACCCAGCGAACCAGGAAACTCAACCAACAAGGAAGAGAGGCAATTGATGGACGATTTCAAGTAACGCGCGTATCATTTTAGCCCCTCCCCACATATGTAATTACAGGTAATATGATCAATTTCTAGAAAAGGTAGACATGGATTATGTGAAAACAGGGGGTAACAAATAAATTAGTACAGTACAGGCATCGTCGAAAAGAAGTGGACGGAATCACCGTACAATGGACCAATCGGCAAGCAATTCTTGTGCTACGAATACTAGGTTCTAAGTAGAAAGGACTCAACAGTAGGGAAATAATGAACGAGAGAAGGAAAGAAGTACGGCACTTGTAGTAATATGGGAAATCCCTTGCTCAGGCCGGATTTTAATTCGCACGGATCCCAGCCATCTTAACAGGAGTTGAGCATGGATGGAGAAAGTAAATGTTTAAGCGGCAACGCGCAACACGCTGGTGACTCTGCAGGAGTTTCAATTACTCCACTACCTTATATTTATTTATACTACTTGATATATCAGATTCTTGAATGCGAACACTCCACTTATCTCGTGCCAGGCTCTCTTCTTCTACCCCTGGTGATACAGTTAACGCGTCTATATATTAAGCCACGGGATTGAAGGCCTACATTAGAAGAATTTCATGTATCGATGAGATGAACTTCTAAACTTTATAGATCAACTTTATGGAAAGCTTCCTTCATCCCTGAGGCTCCACACAAGGTATTATTAGTGCCCAACAAAGAAATGTATCCGATAAGGTTATTATATCGTCTAAGTGTACTATTCCAGCCACCTCGGTGCCACTAATTGCCAGATGCTGTTTTGTTTTCGGAGTAAGAATGGCTCGAATGTACTTCTCAGTTTTTGGGCTAAACTCACGGGCCTTTTCTTCGTATTGGAGGTGCCCTGGACCGGCAGGCATGTGTAGACTATATTGTATTCCATTTAACTACCGTGAAGAAATATGGTATGGGGTATAGATCGACAGCTTTGAGACAGGAGAGCTTCACTTGTGGGGGTGACTTGCCCCCATAACTCTGTCAAAGTTAATATAAATAACACCTCGAATTAAGTGTATAATATTCCTTACTAAGTAAACCTTGGACCCATTTAAGTACAGAAAGAAGAACCTAAAAAAGAACAAGAGGAGACAAAAGAAAACCAGCCTGTCTTCTTAGTCCTACGAAGTGGGCCCTTTTGACTCGACCGCCTCTACTCCGTACTCCCAATCCTGTACCCTGAATCCGATGCGAGTGATATATTGATATATATGTATATATAAGCGGCATCCGATGGCAATTGTATGCTAGCCAGGAAAATCCCTCAATATAGAAACCCCACCCAAAGTTCACTTCATCCCATTCATGGAACATCCATCTAGGGGACGAGTCTAGCCTCAGGCACCTCCCACCCACTAACCCTTGCGTTCTCCGCCTCCCGCTCCGCCCTTTACCCTTTCGAGGTCCTTTACTTTAGTCTGTGGCCGGTCACTTAAAGTAGGCTCTTAGTACGATCGCGATTCCTCCGTCTCGATCATTCTTCCCCCAATTCCTTGGGATTACGCTCTCTATATCCATCCCCCAAATCTCTTGCGATCCACCACGTCGTCTTCATATTTTCTTTTGGTGCCAATTCTTATGGAACATTCTTCTCGTGGTAAGCTCCTTCTATCCCCTCCCCCTTCGTTCGTCTGCTTCTCCACAGTTCCCGCCAAGATGAATACAGATGGTTGGGCTCCACAGTACAAACCATCTGGCATCCACTGCTAGGGGGAGGAAAGAAATTGGGAGAAAAAGCTCAATTAATCGATATGGCCACTTGGATGACCGTTTTTGTTAACCCCATTGTATTTCGGCACCCCTATGTGGAGTAGTCTTCTCTCAATTGCATCCAATTTCTTTAAATCACCGTGTCGCCTGAGTCTCGAACGCGGTCGTCGCTGGAAATCACAGCTACTAACAGTGTGGATTTGGTGATAGACTTTTAGTGGCCCTCGCCCCCCTTTAAGGATACCAATTCAGTCACTCGATTACTTGTTCGCAATCCGCCCACTTCGAAACCCCCCAATTCCTCTCATTTTCGCAACAATAGGAGAGCTGCATGTAGCGTCACAATCCATCGATCAACAAATAATTCCATCACCCACTCTCGCCCCCGCTTCACCGATACCTCCATTCCTCTGACAGCAGTTTTGACGACCGCTGCGGGGTGCGCTCTAAACGGCCGCCTCGATAGCAGACATGCCCTGGCGGCCTCTCTCTCGAATCGCTTTTGCTGTTGCTATATACCCGTTTCAACCCTCGACCCCAGCCGATTTACCTTTGGAGCTTGGCGATGAGCTATACATAATAGAACAAGGGGGTGCCAATGGAGAATGGTGCCGCGGCTATCTCGTGGCTCCGCCATCATTGTTGGCGGGCTTAACGAGCACAAAAGGACAGACCCTGGAAGCGAGGGTCTTCTCTGGCATTTTCCCCCGCAACTGTGTCGAGATTCGCGAGGTCCTTGGCGATGCAGACGGGCAGCGAACTTTGACAAATGGAGACAGGAGGAGTATCGAACCAGGGGACGGCCCGGACGGCGATGTGAGGAGTAGTGTGGTCTCTTTGCATGATGACGAGTTTATGACTGGGGAAGTATCAAACGTTGTGATTGCTAAAAAAGGGAAACCCTCTCAAATCTTCATTCACAAGCTAGACGATGATCAACAGATCCCACGCTCGCCATATAGCACTACGTTGAAGTCGCCGTCCCTGCCTCACACTCCTATCACAATGACACCCCGAGACCCGCACGGCCCCAAACCGGCTGCACCTGTACCTATGCTCAAGATCGGTGACGAGACTCCAACCTCCCTGTCGGAACCTCTAGTGGACGAAATTGCCTCGTGTTTACGCGAATGGCATTCGACGAACCTTCATCAACTCTTACTTAACCGGCAATATGACGTTATCGAGGAGATGTCGGCTATTGTTCAAGAACTGGATCTTGCCAGGAGACAGCTTCTCTACAATGTGCTCACCGCACAGGAGAAGGAAGGGTTGCGACAAGAGGTCGTGTGGAAACTGGTGCGGGCAAATAAAATGTTAAGCGGAGACGTCATCGTTAGGGATCCTGAACAACGGGGCCGCCTATTGACCGGCGAAGATTCCGCCATCCAATTGACAAAGCTTCAGTCTGAGATGAGCATGCTAGAAAGCAGTCCCACAAATCCATCCGACGTTGCAACGATCCATCACCTACTCTTAGAAGTCAATGCAGTTTCGGGCAACTCTCCTGGTCCTGTTACGCTTGCTGTGAACTTGTGTTCTCAGTCGGAGACCGGTGGCCTCAACCCTCTGTCCGAAACATACATCTTAGACATCCCATCCCCGGAGAAATTTGCAAGTATGGGACAGAGCAGTAAACTCAAGACTCTTTTCACCGAATTGTGTGCCACAGATATCGGCGATGGATCTGCGAACGGGCCCAAGCTATACTTGGTCGTCGCAGTTCGAGCACCTGAAATTGCCTCGACAAGCCTCCCGTCTCAACCAAGATCTTCAGTTTCTAGGGAGGGATCCTCCGCTTCCAGAACATCAACGGGGGGCAATCAACAAGGCAAGAGCAGTTTAAAGACCCGCCGCAGCATGATGTGGACCTCGAAACCACGCGGCATTCCAAGCGCCGAGCAAGGTAAAGAGATTACCAAAGGCTCGCCCGAATCGGCAGAGAGCACGTCCAGCAAAAACCAAGAACAAGCCAATAGCCAGCCGACGAAGGAAACCACTCAGATCCGCACAATAGGCGTGGGTGTCTTAGAGATCTCACAGATAGTTGGCCAAGACAAGGATACTGAACAAGTAATAAACATCTGGTCTTCGTCAGAAGAAAATGAGAATGGGGATGGGCATGCGGATGGCTTCGATGAAGTAATTCGCACATTGCTTCCAAGCCCAAGCGGGAAGTATGTGAGATCTCCACGGGCCGCTCGGCTTCATCTACACCTATACCCCTTTGTGGGCACTGATTCAGATGTCTTGGTTCGGAAAAATCCTACAATCATGCATAACGTCGTCCAAACTAGGAGAATTGGTTTTTCCCAGGCTCCGACAAAACCTAGATCAGATATCTATGTAACAATATCCCATGCTACGTTTCCTCCTGAGGCCTTACTTTCGCATCCTCAAGCAGGCCAAGTTCCCGTGCCGACAAATTCAGAGCTCCGCAATCTACAGTTGACCCTTGAGGTACGTGCCTCGTCAGGAGCTCGGATAGAACGATGTGTTTTCCCCTCGTCCAACAATACGGCGCACACAGCTTGGCGCACCACGATAGCTGCACGAGGTGTGCCTTGGAACCAGACCATTCGCCTCAATATTCCTACGGACCAAATTCCTGGGTCCCATCTGATCATGAGCATCGCAAACGCGCCTGAGTTTCCATTTGCTCTTGCTTGGATGCCGCTATGGGACAATCAAGCATTCATGCGAGATGGCCCTCATTCTTTACTGCTACATGCCTATGACAAGTTAACTTCCAGTATCGAGAATGGCAAGGGAGTCTATCTGTCGCTCCCCTGGAGCTCACTGGGCAAGAATGAGTCTGCTAAGGACGAGGCTATCACGGGGCCGTTGGCTACGTTACGCTTGGAGACCAGCCTCTGTAGCACGGAGTATTCCCAAGACCAGGTGATTCTAAGTCTACTGAACTGGCGTGAACGTCCAGTAGGTGAAGTCTTGGATACGCTGAAGAGGGCCCTTTTCGTTCCAGAAATTGAGATTGTCAAGCAACTAAGCAGTGTCTTCGACGCACTCTTTGGGATCCTGGTAGAAAACGCTGGAAATGAGGAATACGAGGACTTAATATTCAAGAACCTGGTCATGGTTCTCGGGATCGTTCATGACCGACGATTCAATCTTGGCCCATTAGTCGACCATTACGCTGAGAACCAATTTAACTTCCCGTTTGCCACTCCATGCCTCATTCGAAGCTATCAACGTCTCCTACAGGGTGGTTCCGATGGTCAGCAGTCTCGTAACCTTCGTGCCACTTTTAAAGTGGGACGGCACGTCCTTAAATTCATTATCAATGCTAGGCAGCAGCAGAAAGTGAAGGAGGAGGGCATCGGGATCACCCGTGTTCAATCGACTTTCAACCGGGACCTGCACATGATGTTCAAATCTCTTGAGGCTCTCATGAAGAATCCTTCGCCTTCCATGGTTGGAAGCAAGACTCTTGTTGTCCAACATTTTCACACATGGCTGCCGGAGCTAACAAAAGTGCTTCCCAAGGACGAAGTAATCATGATAGCTCTCAGCTTTATGGATTCGTGCCAAGATGTTAAAGGTATGCTAATACTTTATAAGCTAGTGTTGATACAGCACTATACACGTCTCGAGATATTCAGTACTGGGCCGGAGAGGAAAAGTTTGGTCTCCAGTTGTATAGGTTGGCTGGCACCATACTGGGGGGCAATCGGACCTGTCTCTGATTTGTACCGTGATCAAGTTCGGTTGAACTGTGCAATAGTTGCAGAGCTCGCGAAGGAGCCAGACCCATACGTATACGACTTCATGCCCAAGATAGTCTCTTCATATTACACCATTATACCCGACGGTGTGGAAGATACCAGTTATCTCTCTCTGCTCTTCAGCAAATCCTTCCCATTCCAGGTGAAATCGTCCAAGCAAACGCAAAAGTTTGATGAAGCTTTGGTGGAGCTGTCTGCAATCATGGCAGCCACCGCAGCAATACCTAACCCTAAGCGACCTCGGCTGAAGGGCTTGGAGCTTGCTACTTTTCTCTCCCAGGCTTTTGAGGTCCATACTTCTATCTTGAATTGCGAGGCATACCCAGAGAGCTGGCTCAGCGTTCATGTATACAACCACCGGGCGACTGTGAAGAGCTCGAGTATCTCTCTTCGCTTTTGATCGCCAAATTCCTACCGACGCCAGAAGATGCAGAGAAGTTTGATACACGACTATGGGAAAACTTTTTTATGACCCTACTAAAGGTCGTGTCGAGCGACGTCCTAGCTCTCGAGACCTTCCCGGAGCAGAAACGGCGTGCTATCTGGAAGATCGCTGGCGATGTCCGTGAGCAAGGCGCCGAGTTGCTGCATTCCAGTTGGGAAGCCATAGGCTGGGATACCACAGATGAAGAGAGGGAGCAGTATGGCCTGAAAAAGCTTGGAGGATATCAGGTTCAGTATGTCCCTGGTCTTGTGGCCCCTATCATCGAATTGTGCCTCAGTGTCCACGAAGGCTTGCGACATGTGGCGGTTGAGATTTTGCGGACAATGATTCTCAGTGAATGGAGTCTTAACCAGGACCTGTCCATTATTGAAACGGAGATCATTTCTAGCCTGGATAATCTCTTCAAAACGAAGAATATGAACGAAGGCGTTGTCCAAAAGCTCTTCATTGCTGAGTTGACAGAACATTTCGAGAGCTGTTCTTCTTTCGACGAGACCCTCTCAAATGCGGTCAAAGCGCTTATCGCAACTGTAGATGAGCTTCTTGATCTATTTGTGGCCTCCCAAAGTGGATCTATGGCTGAAAGTTTGCATTCCCTCAGGCTGATGGAGTACATGAAAGACATGGGCCGTGAAGATATCTTCATTCGCTATGTTCATGAGTTGGCTCAGCTCCAAGCCGCAGCAGGAAATTTCACTGAAGCTGGCCTTGCACTCCAATTCCATGCCGATCTCTATGAGTGGGACCCCAGGCGATCCCTTCCCGAGCTTCTTAACCCTCCTTTCCCAGAACAGACTTCGTTTGAGAGGAAAGAGTCCTTGTACTTCTCAATTATTCAATTCTTTGAAGATGCGAAATCTTGGGCACATGCACTCGTCTGCTACAAGGAGCTAGCTCAGCAATATGAAGATACCATCATGGACTTCGCCAAGCTCTCGCGGGCACAAAGCTCGATGGCTAAGATATACGATATTATTGCCAAAGAAGAGAAACAATTCCCGCGTTACTTCCGTGTGCTGTACAAGGGGCTCGGGTTCCCATCAACTCTACGGGATAAAGAATTCATCTTTGAATGTTCTCCAACCGATCGTATGGCCTCCTTCATCGACCGTATGCAGAGGGAACATCCGGCTGCACAGATTGTATCGCCGGGAGAGGTTCATGATTATGAGGGCCAATTTTTACATATCAGCCCGGTAACTGTTCACCGCGATATGACACATCCGGTCTATCAACGATCTAAAGTCCCCTCATCTGTAAGGGATCACCTCTTGATTTCCGAGCCTTGCCGCTTCAGTTCAACAATAAAACGACATATCCGTGGTGCGGATGTTCAGGAGCAATGGGTGGAGAAGGCAGTCTACACCACTGCAGAGCCATTCCCAAATATCCTTCGGAGAAGTGAAGTGGTTGCAGTTGAAGAGCTAGCGCTTACCCCCATGCAAACCGCCCTTGAACGAACCTGGCGCAAGACTCAAGAACTGACATTGCTGCAAAGGCGCGCCGCATCTGGTGAGGACATGAGCTTATCGAACTTAACAGAGGCGCTAGAGCAGCTATTAGATCTCAAATCGCCTTCCGCCGGCTGCGTAGCCCTCTATCGACAGTTCTTGTCGCATCCGCAAGGCGATGTTGAGCATGAAGATACGCCAACACCAGTTGATCCTCTGAACCAGGCTCTAGCTGTCGCTCTGATTGATCACGCCTTGGCAATTAAACAAGCCCTGGCTCTCTTCTATCGTCCAGCGCACCAAGCCACGCAGGCTGAATTGATGCGCCGCTTCGAAGAGGCGTTTGCCCCTGAACTTGCTTCTCTTAGTCCTGTCGTACAAGAGACACCCCATTCAGCACCGCGTCAGTCCCCTCGCTCTTTACAAGACCGTAAAGGGCAGGCAGCTTTGCGCTCCAACACTCCGGAGCAGGAGCTGATCCGCTCTTCGCGGCAAAGCCACACCCGCAAACATTCCCAAAGGCCATCAGTCATTAGTATCATGAACCCCTTCAAACGTGTAAATCCCGCGGCAGGCGGCTGGGCGATCAATGGTAATGGAGAAACCAAGTCGCAACTGGATAATGGTCCAGTTGAAAACAGCCGGGTCGAGGATACGGACCGTGAGGATGCAGCAACAATAAACAGCCGGACGACAAGTCAATCACGGGATACTCAGAGTAGGCGCAGAAGCTTCTTTGGAGAGAAGTTGCACAAGCATGCCTCGTCGCTGTCAATCACGAAACCTTTTTCTGAAGATACCCAAGCGCAGATAAGTCAACTTTCAGGTGCTTCCCAAGATACAGGCGCGAAACCAGAGAAATCGCAGGAGACCCTTGGTCGGACAAGTTCACAAAACAAAGGGGCCTCTGGGAATGACCGACCGTCAGTGGTCAGCCCTAAATCTGGATGGTCCACGATTCCTTCTATTAGTGACTATCCTCGCCCAGTGACACAGAGCAGTAGGACCTCACTGAGAAGCCCTGATTTGGGTAGCCCGAAAATTCCCCAGCAAACCAACTTTCATACCGGGGGTGTTCGGGACTCTGTTATGAAAAGATTCAGCCTGCTTAAGGGTGTTGGGCGAAAGGGTAGTCGCCTCGATTTTAGATCTGATACACATGGCATGGCAGTCCGCGAAGAGTAGGATCGCTGGTTTCTGCCTTTTTTTTTTTTCTTTGACCTTTCTTCCCGCCTTTATTCTTTTAATGTCTGGACATTAATGCTCACTACTCTTCTTGTTCTTGCTGTTGATTAAAGCATTTTGTCTTTGCATCGCAGCGTACCTGTTCTTTGCTATGCCTCCTTCAAAATTTTCTTTATCATACTTTCTATTTTCTTTGCCTCTCTTATATGCCACGTGCTGGTGACAGTTCCGGCGGCTTCTTTGATTTCTTCTCTCATCTGCATTCTTGACCATTTTTACCTTCTCCTTCTTTTCTCTTCTTCATTTCTCACATTCAGGACATGATACATCAGACATACCTCCCAGATACCTATCCCTACTCTCATCTCCCTTTTGGTCTGTTGCTGATCGCGACGTCTCTTTTGTTTGTTCAGATAATCCTGGGCCACTTTGTAAATTTCACTACTTACTACCTTTCATATGGTCACTCCCTTTTCCAACCATCTCTTCTACCCTTTGTTATGTGGACCCCTTTATACCCGTAGGTGCAGGATGGCTGAAGGTCCCGGGAGTTGGATATTTATAAAGAGATTGAACCATGGGAATTATATATAATCAAAAACACGTCACTTAGTTCAACCATAAACTAGCCCCGTAAAGATAATATTTTATCGCAGTAGTCGAAATACAATTGGAATTCAGTCTTGATCCACGACAGGTTGAATTCACTCATCCAAAGATGCAAAACAAGGATAGTATGTACGCCAAAGAGGACTCCTCTATATATGCAATTTCAAACAACCACCCAACGTTGACGATGCTAACATGCAATCCCTTAATATTCACGAAGGAAGCTCCAGATCCACCAGCCACGGTGCGTTCACAGCCTGGTACTGAACCGTCACCACGCTCGCATTGACGAACAGCGTCTCGTCGCCCACCCTCAGCGGACTCTTCGACTCCCCACTGACATCTGTATACGCACAGCGATCCTCAAGCGTCGTCTCCTTATCACACTGAATCATCGACTGATTGCGCGTACTCCACTCCACCCGCGTCGCTCCATAAGCTTCATGTATATGCCCAAAAACATGCAACCGCGGCTTCGCCCTCTCCACAGCCCGAAACAGATGCTCACAGCCCACACTAGCATGCGACCCCACCACCTGATCCAAGATGCCATACGGCGGCCCATGCGTCAACATGATATCCACCCCATCGTCCGGCACCGGATTCGGCGGCACAAACACCCCCTCCGCCGTCGACCGCGGCGCATTAAACCGGTCCGTACCCCGGTCATACGCAAACGCCCACTGACAGAACTCCGGCGTATACGGCGACGCATAGACTGTGAACCGCGCCCCGTTCCCCAGCGTAAACCTCTGCACCCCTTCTTCCAGATACCGGATCCCGGCGTTCACGGCCTCCTCGCTCGTCCAGAGCGCCTTGATCTCCCGCACCGACTCCACCCGCCCTTCTTCTTCGTCGGAGGCCCCTACGTTCTCCTTCCCTGCTGTCGCGGACGCCGCCGTGTGGTCGGTCCGGTACCGGTGGCGGTAGTGCCCGATCCGTGTGTAGTACTCTTCGTCTAGTGTGATGTCGTGGTTCCCCGCTACGACCAGCTTCAGCTCCGCCGGCGCCTCCTTCAGCATCGCCAGGATCACTTCGTGTTCGGCTTTGAGCCCTACTTTGGTTATGTCGCCGGCGTGCAGCAGAATGTCGGAGCTGGGGGAGGGGGTGGCGGTAGGGGTTGGTGGTGTTTGGGGCTGGGTTGGGGGTTAGAGTGTGGGTGTCGGAGATTATGCAGATGCGGGTTTGATGGTCATTTTTATGTTTCTTTTTCTTGGGGGTATTTAAGGGGCTGTAGATTGTGTGTGTGTGTTTTGGTTGGAGGGTGGTAGGGAGGGAGTGTAGGTGGTTGTGTTTTGTTAGGGTAGAGTGAGTGTTGTGATGGTGATGGATGTTTATAAAGTCAAAAGATGTTTAGATGGGGGAGGGGCCAACATGGCGTCATAGATAACCGACTGCAAATTGGCAAGGCCTGAGAGGGGCAAGGGTGACAAGAACTTTTACGGTATCGATTGTGGGGAAAAAGTTTTTTGTAAGAAAAAAAACCTTTGGAAGAGAAAAGGAAAAATTATTCAAATTCGACAGAACATAACGAGGATCATTCCATTGCTGACAGCTCAGAGCTCTACACACAATGCACCCGTAGTGCCCCAGAGATCATAAATGTATTCTGGAAAAAATTGCTGAAACTCCGATACCACCCTTTTACAACACGATTTTCCCTTTTTACTTCCGGATAGCCTTCTGGTAGAAAGCAAGCTCATCACCCTCCAGGATGTAACCGTCAACACGACCGCTCTGGCCAGGGCGGGAAGCAATGACAGCGTAGAGACGACCGGCCTCGAACTGTCTCTCGACGGCAGACTCGACCTTGCCGCTCTCGGCGAAGCGCTCAGCCTGCTTCTTCACAACGCTGTTGCTCTTCTTCTCCTCGGTGGTCTCGGTCTTCTGCTGGCGTCTACGGCCGAGGGGCTGGCCGTAGTGGGCCTCGTACCATTGACGGAAAGGAGCGGCATCAATCTGGACAACGGCCGACTTGGTCAGGGTGTTGGTACGGACCAGCTCGTTGTTGGAAGGGTGGTAGGCGACAACGATGACACGGGTCTTGCGGGAGATACCCTCAGAACCCCAGGAGAAGTTACCGGAGTCGAGACGGAGGGCACGGAACTTGCGGTTGCCACCACGGGTGCGGACCAGGTGGATTCTCTTGGAGCCGATACGGGTGTTGGCGGCCTGGCGACCCTTCTCGAACGCCCTGTTGGAAATGTGTAAGAATTTGGGCCTCTTATCTCTGGATTCCACTGAGCTCAAGTTCATTCATACCTCTTCTTGCGGTAAGTGGCCCTCTTCGCACCGGTAGCCGAGCGCTTGTGGCGGGAGTCGCGAGAAATACCCATGTTTGCTGTTTCGAGGGGACTGTGGACAACGACAGACTATTAGCTATCAAGAACCCGTAGACGCAGTGATTTCGTTTGCTTTGGTTTCCTCTTCAAGTTTCCCGTTGGAGCGTGAGATAAGCGAGCGGTCACAAGTCGAATGCACTGGTAGCGGTCGCAAAGCCCAAGCAGATAGTTTATGTATATCGGAGACAAGACGATGTGTGAAAAATTTTCTTCCGTTTTTTCTTTTTCGTCGTTGATATTCCCCTTCGGCTTTCTCCGTTCTCTCCTTGACTGTGTCCCTTAAACTAATCCGATCGACTTCAATCGCTAAGCGGCACACGGCACGATAACCAACGCTCGACACTCGATGCAACGGTGAAACCAAAAAGAGGAGATCGAAAACACTTGGAACGACGATAGTAAACTCACCTCTAATCCTGCAGCCCTTCACCAGGAACGCAGCGGGCAAGGGTCGTTGGGTGGTCGTGGAGTTAAGTGCTGTCGTCGGACTATCGTGAATTTCGCAGTGTGCCTTCGCTTGAGAAGTTGCCCTAGTCCAAAGTGCGCGCTAGTACCAATAGGGCATAGCACCCATCCCCGTGACCTTTCGACTAGACCGCTTTTGAACAAATCTTATTGTCCCTTTCTATAGAATTTCCGTTGAAATTGTCCAAATGGTTTGAAGATCATAAACTAGTCTACTCTGGTGAATGTCTTATAATAATGTAATAAACCAGCATCTGTGCTTTTGACACTGTCTGAAAAACAGCATGTATACATACATTCATCTGTCATTTCAAGCCATAAACCCTTTGTCCACAAAGGAAAAAAGAAAAAAAAAAAAATTGAGCCAGCAAAGACTCCATTAGGTTCTCCCCTCCTATGTGGACCATTTTGCCACATGTAACTAGAGCATCTGCTTACTACTTGCGATGCTCCTTCTTCACTTGCTCTTCCTTCACCATCCGATCAAATCTCCGGAATGCAAATACCCCCTCAATCATAATGGTTGCTACCCACGCAAACCATACACCGGACAAAAACGGCACCCCGTGAGGTTTCAAGCGCTTCACCGAAAGCAGAACCACTTCAATAGCATGAATGCCCAGCAGAAGCGTACCTGGAATGGGCTGGACGGTGTGACAAAACTGAGTGAATGCTGGGAACCTGTCAAGGCCAGCCGTCTCGTAGAGCAATGACCCAGGCAAGAAATTGCTGCGTCGAGAAAACACAATTAACGTAGCTACGACCACAGCAAAGTTTATGGCCTCCCACCCTCGGGGTGCTCTATACTCTTTGATGATGATATCCGAAAGCCCTAGCCGTTCAAGACACTCCTTGTGCATTGCCACCACGCGCTGTCGAGTATCGGAAAGTGTTTTCATGGGTGGATCTAGGGGCACGCTGTAGCGGGTGCCCTTGGCGCTGATGAGCAGATCAGACAGAGTGATGTCTTCCAATCGTGCGGCTTTGGCGTCTCCATCGGCGACCTGGCAATAGACGCGGAGGTACATCGCCAGCGATTTCTGGTGGTCTGCGTTCATGTGGTTGATAATGAAGTTTTTGCTCGACGCAGATTTGTCGTCGTTGGATGCGGCCATTGTTGCTGTTAGGTGGGTCTTTCAATTGAACTCCGGTGCTTTTCAGGTCTTGAGACAGTCTGAATGGAGGTTAGAATGTATGTACCTCCAGTTCGTCAGGTACTCCGCTTCAGGAGTTAAGTAGTTGACGCCGTTGGGTAATGCCAAGCTTCTACCTCGGCTTCTATAAAGACACTAACGTTCGGATGGTTGCGATGCTCATGTGCTTCCCTTTCTCGGTACGTAGTCTACTTACCTTTTAGCTTTAGGGTAGATAAGCTCGAATCCAGGTACTTGAGACGTTTTAGGTATGCAATGCGATTGATCTGCTACCAGAATGTAATCGCACGTGATGTCTATTTCCTGTTTAGGAATCGCTTTGCCCATCATGTCTCTCTTCGACTCCCTTCCACAGTAGAACACGAATCCTCCATCACCCTTTATACTATATATATAGATATATAGATATCTCACATACTTCCGTGGTGACCTGTTGGTTGAACCATGTGGTTGTCCAGAGCTTATACTCTTTTCGAGTTATTTCGAGCCTACAATCTAGCAGTCATCCGGTCTCATTTGCCTACACACATTGAAACCGAAGAGAAGCATTACACCATCGTGTAGAAGGGCCCAACTCCCTTCTATATCACGCCTGAACCGGCTATACTGACTCCACCAGAGCTTACGTGACTCATCCAGTCTTGTCAGGATCTATCGTGGGTCAATGAGGCCGCTTTGAGTTTAGATTGTGTCATTGATCTCTAAACCATTCGCTATATTCTGCACGCTTGAAGTTCGCAATGAAGATAACTAACATCAGGAATCAAGTATATATGTCTGAAAAATAATAATGGAGACAGCAAAGCAACCAGAAGCCAAGATTTTCAAGCCGGAACACAAATACCAATATGAGACACATGCAATTAATCATACCAACAGGTGGAGTATAGTAATTATGCACCAAAACAGCAAAAAGAAGAAAACATTACCTGAGCGCAGGACTCTATTGAACAAACAGGAAACATGCAGAACAGGTTGCTGTTTCCCCGGAACATTATCATAAACTTCATGCCAGACATGTTCGTCGATCCGAGGGACGAGGCGGTCAAGAGCTAATAAAAGAGGCGAAATTAACATTTTCCCCAATCATGCACTGCGATTGATAGGTTAGGTCCTATTCTATGTTGAGTCGGGTGGAATTGACTGATGGTGCTCGGGTCTTTTCTGAAAACCAAACGAAATGAGATACTTACAGCAACGACAGTGTCAAGTCTCCGTGAATGTGGGCTTTGAGTTCTACCTCGATGTCAAGGTTCAGCTCCAGTTTCAGTTTGAGGCCATCCTGCTCATCATCGTTTTTCCCTTGTCCTGGAGCGTCCGTCATGGCTCCGTTTGTGATCGTGCCCTGTGTTAGGGACTGTGTGCCGCGCTTATATGGCTGCATGGCATTGCCCTGATCCGCATCATCATAGTCATCGTCATCGTATTCATCGGAAAGATAGTCACTTTCATCCTCATACTCGTCGTTTTGACGCTTGCGTTGCTGCTGTCGGCGTCGTCGAGCTTGCTGTCGGTTCGGACGCTGGGGTTTCTGATCCTGCTCGTCTTCGGACAGTGAATAGTCATCTGTATCGTAATCGCCATCCGAGTACTCGTCCGGCTGAATGGCAGGTTGTTCTTCTTTCTTTTTCTCTGCAGTGGCCATGCTGAGAGGTATCGATAAGGATTCAGGAGAGGATCGAATTGCAGGCAAGGAGAAGGGCGCGATAACCGGCGATGCGCTTGAATCACAATACTGAGTCAAAACGAGAAGTAAAACCTATAATCGGAAATACTATCGGAAACTAAATACGTCTAGAAGTGTAGGGGGGGAAACTGTTGAGCAACAGAGGAACTTGGGAGGATATTTGCCAGTGCGGCTAGACGATGAAGGTCGTTCTTCTGTACGATGGGGCCAGCGAAGAACAGCCACCTACGAATTCCCCCCCTCGCCATGAGCATGACGTTGTCTGTGTACCTCTACCTGCAAGATCACCGGCAGTGCAGCTAATCAGCGTGGCGCTACTGTTCTTGTGTCAGACCTGGAGGGTCAGACGGACGGGACAAACTCTGGGGACGATAACGTAGCCCATGGAGGGTGATTGACAGCAATATGTTGTCAAGAGGCGGGTCCCCCCTGTCACCGTTCCAAGGATAACATGCTGTTCCATAATTATCGCAGCCACCGACAGAATTACATTGACTGATGATTCCACCGGCTTTTGTTCGGATGCGAACCGCGGATCAATGGCGCTTTCTTTACTTTCCCACGCGAAAAGAAGCCGCGGGAACCAGGGAATCAAAATCACAAACAGCAACGCATCTCCGTCTTTCTTTGACGGTATGGTCTATCACAATCGGAACATCAAAAGTCGCTTCTGGCCCACCATTCTCTCGATAGATTGTATGATGATCTGACGTGCGTGGCGTCATCCCCCCAGTTAGTGGTCAAGACTCAAGGTGGACCAGCAAATATGGAGACACACGGTAATTCTCCGGCCTTGTTTCATTGGCCTATCTGGCAACGCATCTGCCGCTAAAGAGATTAAACACCACTGCGAATGCCGGCGATCTTTCACTGTAGCCCACCTTCCAAGGCTAAACAAAAAAAGGCTGAGACACCCTTGTGTAAGTCGACGTCATTCTGAACGGGCTTCAATATTCAACGCTTCAATCATGTTTGGCTCCCACCCTCCTCCCTCTTGTCGCACTGATGACGCCGTTGATCTTCGCTTTGGCCCTTGGCCCAATCCAATCGATCAGAGATGGTCATAGCTGACGTCGACTGTGGGCGGCCGGTTGCCAACCATGCAAGACGCTCGCATCATATAAATGATATTGGACGATGTGACCATGTTTTAACACTATATCACGAGCACTAGACCGCTAGCACAGAATATAATCCCTCGCCTTCCTTCTCAACATGTCCGACAAAGAGGATAACAACCCTCAACCCCCTCAGCAAGAGAACAATAACCCCGAGGAAGAGAATAACAACCTGGGGTCCCCTCAGCCCAAGGAGGAGCAGGACGTTGAACCCAAGCAAGAGTCTCACTCTGACGCTGAGCCTAAACAAGAACCCAAGTCGGACAACGAGTCTAAACAAGACCCCGAGCCCGACCCTAAGCCACAAGAAGAATCCCAACCTGACACTGAACCCAAGCAAGAGCCTCAGTCAGAAGCCGAGCCCGAACCTCAACCCCAGCCTCAAAAAGAAGAACCTCAGCGGCGTCCAAGGAAACCCCGCCCACAGAAGTACCAACAGGACTCGGATACTGAGAACATCAACCGCGGCGACATGGATAACACCGCTGTGGAGAAGCCTCGTCGTCAGCGCCGCTCACGTCGCCAGCAACAAGATGGCGGTCCCCTCGGCGGCCTCGGTGGTATAGACCAGGCCGGTGACCTCGTACAAAATACAGCCGGCAATGCCGTCAACGGCGTGACCAACACCGCCGGCAAAGCTGTGGGAGGCATCCTAGGCGGCAACAAAGGGGAAGGACAGGAAGATAGCGGTGGCAAGGACGAACAGCTGCGGTTGCGGCTGGACCTGAACCTGGATATCGAAGTGCAACTCAAGGCTAAGATCCACGGTGATCTAACCCTCGGCTTACTGTCAGTTCAACTCTTCCCCCCTCCCTTACCTTTGCGCCTAAAAATATCAAGCTAACTCTACATAACAGCAACTAAAAACGATCATGAACGCGCTTAATAGAAAAAGCACATATCCCACTTCGTCGGCTCTCATGAAATTTTTCGATACCATGTTACTGTTCCACTTCCCTCCGCCTGCGTATATTGTTGCCTCTTCCTCGTCGATAATCGCAGATTAGATGGTCCTTTCTCCTTTTGTTCCCCTTGAGCTATATACTTATTAGCGTTGGTTATATGATGGCATGAGCAACGTTCTCTCCTTTCCTTCCGTTGGTGCGATGCTTGCATGTATATTAATTCCAGGCTTGACTATGATCATGGTTAAGTCGTTGAGTGCGTGGAATGGGTTATTAATGAATTGCAATTATATATTCTTGAATCTCATCAGATAAAAGAAAGAGAAAGAAGCCATAAGACGAAAAATGTAAAACAAAACAAGGCATAACCGTTGATTCAATATATGTATGTAAATATCGAGACCAGTATATGTTTGAAATAAGTATACCCTTTCTACCGTTCTATTTGTACTCCATCTACCACACATTGTGATGCCCTAAATATACCTCATATTGTGAAAAAAGGTATCACATAACCTCCCAAATGTGAATAATATATATATCGTAACTCATTTGGGGAGAGAGAGAGAAAAAAAAGAGAAAAGGGAGTGTAGGGAGCCAGAGGTCATATCATAGCCCAGCTATGTACATGAGAGCATAGCCGATCGTGACGATAACGGCCCACGCCATCAGACTGGCAGGGATGCCCCTGGTAAAAAAGTGGTGGACTTGGAGGTATCGTTGGCCGGTTTGCGGAACCTCGGTCATAATGGCGGCTAAGATAAGGTTAGCAAGAAGTTATTATCGAAGCCTAAAAAGGAAAGGAGACCATACTCATGTTAGGGAAACCACTGGTCGGCAAAGCCATAGCAACAGAGCACATAAGAGCGCTAGCCATCACCAACAGATTGGGGTGTGGATCCTCCATGCCGACGCCGATCTGTCGAACGAGAGGCAGAATGATAAGTGCCGCAACAGTGTGGAGATGAACGTGGCCATGACAAGAATCAGGACGGAGAACACAATCAAGACGCCATAGAGACTTAGATGTTCCACACGGGCGGTAATGCCATTCGCGAGAGTGTGTAACAAACCGGAAGACGTAACAGCCTTTCCAAGACAAAGGCCACCGGCGGCCAGGATGATAATGGTCCAGAGAAAGTTGTTGAAATCTTCCTTGTTGAGAATGCCGGTTCCAAAGAAAAGGACCATCGGGATAATAGCTATTACGCCCATATCCCCGAAGACATGCTCAAGTTGATGGCTGCCGCACCACAGGGCGATGGTAGACAGGGTCACAATGCTGATGAACCATTGGACCCCAGAAAACTTATCTTTAACCGGCCGAATGGGGACAAGTGTGGTGCCACGACCAGGATGGAATGTGAACACCAAAAGAGCCCATATCAGCAGGATGGAGATAATACAGACGGGGAGTGATACAAAGAACCACGTGCCCCAGCTGATGCTCGGGTGCATGTTCTGAAGCGCAATGATATTTTGTGGTGAGGCGATCGGTGAGGCAGCACCCCCAACATTCGCGGCCAGTGCAATTCCCAACACGAGAGCTTTAGCGAAGTTCGAATCTGGAGGAAGATTCCGAAGCAGAGGCTGAAAACATTATGTTTAGCAACGATGATGTGGTAGGATATGGGCCAAAATTACCTGGATGATCGAATAGCAGAGGACGGGCGAAGCCACGTTGCTAATCCACATGCTCAAAAACATACTCACGAACATATTCGTGAGAAGGACCACACGGGGGCTGGATCCAGCTTTGCTCAAGACGAACATTGCCATCCGACGAGCAATGTCATATTTGGACAAGGCTGCAGCGATGGTGAATCCGCCAAGCAAGAGCATTATCACTGGAGTCCACATAGCACTGAATGCAGCACTAGTGGCTTCTTTAGGCCCCAGACGTTTGTAAGGCTTCTCTTCCGATTTCATGATGCGTAGCAAGACAACAAGGAAAGGGATCAGCAGAGACGTCACAAAGAGAGGAATAACCTGTGGTCGTGCATTTTGTCAGTAAAGTAATATGGGGTAGCAGAGCGCATTATTTACCTCTGTGGCCCATAGCAAGCTGACGAAAATCAGCATTGCCAAACAGTTTTGCTGCTCAGGCTTGTCCATTATTGGAACTGTGAGTAATGTCACAAACACAGCCAGGACAAGAACCAGAGTTCCAAAGCTCAAGCTGCATAACCACTGTGGAGGGTGAAAGACGCCCAGAGGCGTCCTAAACTCTGTAAGAGAAATTTCCTGCTCGTCACCTTGTCGTCGTGCAGCTGCGGGGTCTTCGTCTCCCCCCAGGATTGTTCTACGGATACCAACGTTCGCAGCTTGGGCTTTCCTTTCAATACCAATCATTTCCCTCCAGACTGTGTTTCTCTCCCAGACTACATGCTCCCTCAAGTGTAGCCGAAGCTCTCGCCTTGCGAGTGACAAATCACCGGTCGTGACAACATCCGCGTAGACCATTTCGATCTTGCGGATGTCTGTTTCCACCCTTGACATGGTCGACTCAGTGAATGGATAAGCCAAGGAGACAGTTGAGTTCATGTACTCCCGTCGCAAGCTGCGGTCGAGGATCTTATCGTACTTCTTCAAAGCCTTTGAGAACCCGGTTTTGTTCAGCTGAATGTACGACTTCAGCCCACAAAGAGAGACGTATGCATCCACTGCCCGTTTCTTCAAAGAAAGCCCTGAATTGTACAGTTCTAAGACCTTTGGATCACCAAAATGCTCAACCTGAGCTCTATTAGATCTCGCGACCCTCGAATCTCCCATATGGCCAGATTCGCCCATGTAATCTGTTCGACCATCATCAGGATTAGTAGAACCGGCGCCATGAGATACGCGCCTCCCATTCTGCACCGACAAATGTTCGTCGTCACTATCGGCGTCGTCATCATCATCCACGACGGAGTCGGTAGCGCTGCTACGGCGCCGATCTTGATTTAGTGGGAAATCATGATACCCATTTCCAGAACGCCGCCGAGAACCGGAACTCATCGTCCTTGTCTTGGTCATATGCTCGCTCATTGGGTCCACATTAATCCCATCGGCCTCCGAAGCATACTCCTCCGCATCTCTGATCACCTCTTCAACTTCCTTGAGGATCTCTAGCTCTTTGTCCTGGTAGAAGGTGCATATTTTCTCTAGCTCAGCGTCTAGAGCTTTCCGAAATATCGCATCGGTATTCGGAGTACTATCTAGCAAAGGAGCCGACTCGACATCAGCTTGGGCTTGCCCACCGGCTTTGCGGACTTGTTGTTCCAGAGTGTAGATCCTAGAATACAGATAACACAGTGAGCAATCCACACAGGCAAATTCTTTCAGGTCAAAGAGGCGTAACATTTCCCGAGTGTAGAGTGACAAATTGCTCCCCCTTGCATGCAAAACGATCCCAGCTAGAAAATAGCTCTATGCCTGGGCCCCGAAGACAGGGTAGAAGAAAATGGAGACAAACATGGCAATTGAGCCAGAGCGAGGGGGTTGAGAGAAGTTATGAAGACCTACAATTTCTTGAGGTTGCTGTACGCAAGATAGTACGAGCTCCATTCGGGAACCGCATTGAATTGGATACTATGAGAAAACTTCATCTTGGACTGGGGCTCCGGAAACCGTGAGCGACGACGAACTGCCTCTACCCAATACTTGAGGCGAATTGGCTTGTCCCACTGGACTTGCTGACGAGTTTGGCGGGAATTGGGATCGGAATGCCCGAGCGTTCCCGTTTGAGAAGTACGATCAAGTAATTGGCGATGACCGATCGGTCGAGAATCAAATTCCTGAGATCCGGTGTGTGACTGCCAGGCCCTGGTCGAAGTGGAGGGTGGGACAGGATACTCCACGAGCTCTATATCCTGGCCAGATAAGCGGGGGCGACTGGTCACGTCGATATCGTCGGGTGAGGCACTGGTCGCAGAAGCGATGCGTGCCACTTTCGGCCCACCAGCATGCGACGACACGGTGGACAGGAAAAGAAGAACCGAGCAAGGGGAGGGGATGGGATTCGTTCGTTGTCCAATGTTGTGCGGGTGTTAGGCCGCTTGAAGTGTTCGGTGGCACACTAGTAAATAGTGAATCCCATCACACGTTGCACGTCGGAGAATACTATGTACAGAACCAGGAGGATAGCGATATCGGGGGGCCAGACAGTACATGCATCGATACTTAATGTAGTATCATAGTCCACAGAGAACACGAAGGAGTTTTCCTATCGCTTTGCTTCCCCCCTTGAGTAGACACCGAGAGGTTGAATTTGCGGGAAGAGACCCGACCAAATGGGGATTCTCGACATGAAGTCACGTTCCTGCAGCTGACAAGGGGATTGCCCAATAAGGTTAGCTTCCTCGTCATCCGTTGGAGTCGACGAATAATCGACCTGGAAAAGGGAAAGCGTTCAAGTCCCGATAACTCACCAGCTAGATTTTTGACCCATAGAATGAAAACATATTACGAGAAGGATTCCCTTGGCTGTGAGGGAACTGATATATCGGACTTGACGTATCACCGAGTTTCCAACTTGTCCTTCCCCAAAGTATTTGTCGCTTCTGAAAAGGTCATCACTTGACCACCACTATGCTTGTCATGCACAGTTAACATGACACTGGTCTTTTCATTGGGGCCGAGACCGCTCCAAAAATATATACTGGGTACTCCGTCCATACATGCTCCCGTCTACAAATAAGCAACCATAGTGAATTAACAAACCACAAGAATCACTTTCACTATGATAAATAATAAACGTAAAAACACTACCTATACAGATGCATCAGGTGCTTGAAAGAGTCCATAATAAAATACAGAAAGGAAAGAGATCCCGCATCTTCCATCTAATTTCCGAAACGAAGAAAGAGAAAAATCTCATCGAATGCAGTACCGCAATAACTCGCAATTGCAATGCCAGCCTGTCACGGCGTCTGTATGTAGGCATGTAAGTCAGCCTACCGACGACCACCGACCATGCCGAGATTCGACCGGCCTGCGATACCGAGCTTGTGCTGCTGCTCTCTCTTGTCCCACACACCACTGCGGCCCTCTGCAACCGCAACAAGCTCGTTGGCTACTCGCTGCGCAAACTTGCTGTCACGTCGTTTATCAGAGCCATCGATAATCCATTTGATCGCTGTCCTGCGGCGTTGTCTCAGTGCAAGCGGAACCGGAATCTGCACCGATGCACCACCACCGGCGATACCTTTCTGCTGGCGAATCTTGACCAGAGGAGCGACGGAGTCGACAATCAAGGTGAGATATAGGACAGGGTTCAGTGGAAGTTGTGGGGCGGGAGGTCCAGGAAGCAGAGGCCGCTTGGGGTTAGGCTGAGGCGGAGAGGCAGTCCGAAGGTGGTCCAGAATGAACGCCATATCCTGCACAGCAACATGACTTAGTATCTTCACCATGTATTTTGTACGTAAAAGTAGAGCAATGATCTAACCCCAAGGGTTTCACGTACCTTCTGGGCCCTACTCAACTTGCCGTCCGTCATTAAGAGTTTGGTAAATTGTTCAAGCAGCGAGTCATATCTTGTGCGAAAGTTCTCTGTCTTGGGAAGAGTCTCGACAGGGTCAAACTTGATCCCGTCATGAAGTTCCTCAGCCTGCTGGTTGACCTGCGAAATCATGCTGGCCATCACTGCGGCAGTCTGCTCATCGAAGCTCTTTCCTTGGCCATGTAGTTCTGCCTGGCTCCGGCGAGTGGATGTCGAAAACGAGCGAGTACCAGTCGATGATTTGATCTGGTCTTGCATGACCTTTGGCATGTGTTTCTGGGCTTCTTTGTCCCGTTGGAGGATCTACACGGAAAAGTTAATAGGATTGTTTGATTTCCCAACAATCGGAGCAACGGAGGCATAGAGAGATCACACCGAGGTGGCTTACCTCTGAGATAGGCGTTCCTTGCTCCAACTCCGGACTGGCGGGAGTGCCGTCGCATTTCTTGTCCATGATCTTACTTATCTCCGCGGCCTCCTCGCTAACGTGAGGTAACGGGTCCTCCGTGGGAGCCTTTGGCCTCTCCGAGTTGTCTCCTCCCGACGCTGAGGAGTTCCATCTCTTCTGCATTCGCGTCGAGGACGACAGGCCTGTTTTCAAGCCATGGCGGGCGGATCGGTTGCTGTTGATAGTAGTAGCGATACTGGGTCGGGAAACGTTGACAGAGGTTTGGCGAAAGACCGGGACAGCGGTCCTCGCGTTGAAAATGTTGAGACGGGGTGGCATGCCGGAACGCACTCTTCTAAGGTTGATCTGGAGTCAAGGGTGGACTATGGCTGAACCGACAATGATCTCGTTCGCCCTCTGCTTTGGGAATTCGGCGAACGATTTTCCTCTCCACGACGGCTTAGTCATCACCCGCCAAGAATGGACAGGCTCCTGAAAAATGATGAAGTCATACAGTTCCAGTAACTACTAACCACAACAGTCTGTTGTTGGCAGGATCTCTAAAATTCGTTTGTGTATCCTATTCTCTCAATGCTAAACCCCAAGATTTTAATATTACACAAACCTAAGTGAAGCATCAAATTTTGCGGTGTCCAACGATATCATGGCCTAACTCGATATCACCAAGATTACACGACCAGACAAAGAGAGCCACCCAGCGCAACCAAATCAAATGTGCCATTTCTCGGCGAGCCACGCAATAATATAGACCAAAGTGACTGACCGGCAGTACAAGTCCTCTGGATACCGTGTGAAACGATTAAAGGGTAACAAGTTCGGGAAACATCCAAGGATGATTTACAACAAAAAGAAGTATTGAGAATCAATAAGGAGGGACAGGAGATTCGCTTAGATAATTTAGGAGGGTAGACAATGTAACTTAGTTTTGTTCTCGTCAAATCCTCACAGTTCCTCAAAGGGTAGAGGTGATTGACCACGCCAATGCGCGTATTCATGTGTGAAACAGGGCGTCGTCGGTGGCCTGATCTGGGTATACATAGAATGCCAGAGCCAGAATAATGTACCTAAGAAGTGCGTTAGTGAGAATCAAGTCGAAGGGACAATCGTCACATACATTCCCAGACACAAGCCGCCTTCAAGATAGTTTGACTTCCCATCCTGGATCAAGAATGTTACAACCAAGCCGGAGATAAAAAAGGCGACGGTTTCGAAGATGTGGAAGTGGAGAGTCATATCCACATCGAGGATCCAGCCCAGAATAACGAGGAAGGGCGTGACAAATAGAGCGATCTGCAGGCTACTGCCGATGGCGACCCCAATGGCAAGATCCATCTTTCCTTTCCAAGCGACCACAACCGCTGTCACATGTTCCGCAGCATTTCCTACAATGGGGATGAGGATCAGACCGATGAAGGTTCGACTCATACCAGTGCTCTCCACGATAGAATCAATGCTGCCAACAAGATAATCGGCACATACGGCGACGAGAATTGTCACCACAACCAAAGCAATACAGGCAGCCCAAGGGGAAAGGATATGCTCTTCCTCCTCTTCCGCCACATCATCGCCTGTATTTTCCGGGTCTGCGGTGGTTTCCTCAAAGAACGACGCATGTGACTTGAGCTGGAAATAAAGGTACATCACATATAGAATCAGCAAAATGATTGCAGTGCCATGTGAAAGGATGAGAATATTCTTGTCTCTGTTAGCCCCATCGCCAGCTGAAGACAGAGATGCGTAAAGTGTCGCAGGGATGATCAAAGAAGCAGATGCAACGGTCATCAGTGACGACATGGTCGATGCCACCGTAGTGTTAAAGGATTGTTCGGAGTAACGAATACCCCCAACAAAGAAGCAGCATCCTAGCACCAGGAGGATATTAGACAGTATACTACCGAGCATACTAGCCTGGACGACACGGATTTGCCCATCCTTCAGGGCAATGATACTAACCTACCATCACCCCCCCAAAAAATTAGTCTAACACCAGAGAAAAGCCCAGGAATGGGGGACGGGACTTACGATCAATTCCACGGCGTTGCCAAAGGTAGCGTTCATTAATCCGCCTAGGGCCTGACCCATCGCCGCTGCTAGCTCCTCGGTCGCGAAGCTCAACAGAGATGCTAATGGCACGATTGCTAGGAAATTCAGTGCGAAAACAGCTGTACTATCCCAGCCAAGAGCGCCTGCAATAATGCCAAACGGTACGAACACTAGGAGGAGATTGACGTAGTCTCGTACAAGGGTAGCCCATGTCAAGTGGACGACTCTTACCGGCCAGTAAGCCCACGGCCTGCGTTTATGGCGTGGAACAAGGCCGGAGTTGGCTCGAATAGTGTCACCGATCAGGGCATCTCTTTCGTTGGGCTCCCTCGAGCCATTCTGAGAGAGGCCAGTCATAGTTCTTCTCGAACCCCAAGAGTGACTTCGGAAACTTGTGCGGAAATTTTTCGGCGCTGTACATGAATTTTATGAGCGTGAATTAGCCTAGACCTCATCTCCATGTCTCTTGGGGTAATCCTTCAGGCTCGGAGAGTAACAACGAAAGATGAAGTGACATTGACGCAGAGATAACGTCAAAATTTCAGACTCCAGAAGAACAACGAGACGTGGCTGGGATAAAACTAAAGAATTCGACTTATCGAAAAAGTGAAGGGGGATAGGGGAAAGGAGATGGAAGGGGAAATAATACAAAAACACCAACGACTTGGGTTTGGGACCGGAGGGCAAACACACTGTTGGATGGAATGGATGTACCCTCTAAGAATACAATCCTAAAGAGAAGAGGTGGGGGACGTGAGATTGACGATGAAAATGAAGGAATCACAAGTGGGTAGTGAGAGAGAATAAAGTAGTAGTTAAACAGAGTTGATGACAGAAGAGAAAGATGAAGAAGGAATGAGTTTCCACCTACACATTGGAGTAGTGGTGTGGTGGACAATTCGGCACCGCAACCCGCAATTACTTGAGAGATTGAGGATCGCAAGATATCGACAATTTCTTAGAACTTGGCACGGGATTAAGTGAAGAACCGTTCAAAATTTGGCGCACTTAATGGAGTATCCAAGTGGAGGTGACGTTATGCTGTGGCTTGTCGGGTGACGATTTCACTGTAGAACCATGTCAAGACTTAAGAGTATTCTATCCCTTAATTTTCTTCCAGGATTTAGACTTTGCTCTTCTCCAAGCTCGACCAGAGAGCGTGAAAGGCCAAGAAAACTAAAGAGCTCGGAAGGGTTGTACTGGAGACAGCAGCCACAACCATGGGCTGGTGGACAAGGAGATAATGAAGGGCCGTGCGGAATTTTAAATTCCAGAAAAGAGTTTTGCGCCCTCTCAGTGGCGGTACCAGCGGTGGCTGGAAGTTGATCGGATCAAGCTAAAGACGATGGGGAAATTTTGGTGCCAGAACCGACTCAATTGGCTTCAGCTTCTTGTCCCAAGACGTGCACAGCCTCGATTTGTGATGATTAAACAGCCAGGGATGGTTTGTAGGAAGCTAAGGGTGGTCACTATGTTGAACCTGGTTAGCAGAACGATTGGGAGTAGTTCATTAGTGGTTGCTAGGCGAGTTCAAGGAACGGGAGGTCCGGATACCTCGAGTGTTAAGATCTGGACTAGGAGGTCTGGGCAGCAATCCCAGGCTTTTTAATCTCGGGGATGGTGGTCGTTGGAAAATGATGACGTTGTGCACGCTGGGACGACTCCGTACTGAATGGACTCGTCCACGCTTGATGCCCAAAGGATTGAAATGGTCGATGATCGGTTATCGGTCTCGTCCGATTGTTGGTAATTGTATGAGCTGGAAGGAAACCTTCGTCCAGATGAACAACTAACCGAACTCTGTTCATTCTGTTCTCACTTCAATTTCGTGGTGGAGCCCATGCAGGAAAAGCTTCGTTCCTTCTTTGGGCTTAGTGGCAGGAGCTTCCAGTGGTTACCCGAGCGTCAATCCGTACCAGTACAGGCCAATACTACCTGTAGGTACGTCTGATACATACCACAGTACGAGTATTTGTTCACGACTATTGGATTAGACCCAGTTCTGTAAGTAATTTGGATGCATCAACGCAGGAAACCCCACCTCATGCGACACACAATGACTGCGCTGAAACTGTGCTGTTCCCACTCATGGATCCTCGATTCTACAGAGTTTGAGATACCCGCCAAGACTGAACACTGCCACAATTATGTCTCCACTTCTTCCCGTATTTTAGACTCCGGAAATCTGCGAAGTACTAGTACTGTGTAGTACTAGTAGAGATATGCGTATGTATGCACCGTTATGTTACTGTATGTTGTGCAATCATACAAGTACTTCGTCCTCACGATTAAATTTGTGTATATATATATAATACAGAGAAGATCGATGATATCCTACAGACACACACAGCCCGGGTTAGCGTGGATTCGAAGTCTTCTAATCCAACGTCATCGCCACATGAAATGTGAGAAATATCGGTGTGGCGCATTTCCCCCCTCCAGGCCACCTGAGCAGGATATTCGTGGCTGGCTACAGTTACATCCGGAGTACATGCATGCTGAAGAGGACACTACTAGTACGTACTCCTACTGCAGACGTATTAGCCGCAATTGGTGAGCGGCCCGCAGAAATACCCCCACCAAATCTATCGGGATTTTGTGAGAATACCCGGTGGACAACTTTCCCACATCGCATCTGAAACCCTAGGGGAGCATTTGGCGAGTCATGGACAAAAAGATCACATGGTGGATCAGGGTTTGCTCAGCCGCACCTGAAGCAAGGTTCCTACAACCAAAGAGATGTCTCACGAGCTTGGAAAAAGGCACTCAGATTGATATCTATAGCTGCTGTGGTGCTGCGAGGCCGTTCAATATACACAAAAGTAATCACTCAACTAGATTCTGCATGAAGACGAAGACACCGACCTCGAACATTGCGGAACATACTATATCGCCCCGTCCTAAAAACTGAGAGGACCGAGGCTAGAAATAACTTACTCGTTGAAACTGATGGTTTGAACACTCTAGGCGCCGCCGAGTCCTATACGCTGTTAGTGATGCCATTGAACCCTGAAGAATGAGTAGTCAACTCACCTGCAGCAAGCGCAAGGTACCAAGTCCGTGTTGCTCCCCCATCGATCACACTATAGTCAAAGTTCGGTTGCGCGAAGAAATTCCAGGATGAAACTGGGTCGATAAGGGCAAGGTTTGCATACAAGACCCCTTTCCATCCAGCTTGTACATGTTCTGCCGGAGCTGCAGCATTGGTTGCAAAAAGGGCATCCCACTCTTCCTTGACAAACTTTTGGCTGCGCACGTATGGCGAGGCTGGTAAGAGCGGCAGCATGTGAATCCTATCCAACACATTAGCGACTTGGTTCTAGGCGATTGAAACAAACCACCTGCAGAGCTAGATGGACAAAGCGTTCATACCCGTGAATATATTCTAGGTTGGCTCCAAAGTAGGTAGTGTGGTCCACCTTGTTTTCGAATAACTAAGTCGGTGTCAGTATGTCCCTTGTGATACTCTAGCTCCATCACTTACTATGCCCGTCACTTTATTCGGAACAAACACCGGGGGTTGATTCTTGTTGTCGGCCTCCATGAGGAAATAATTATGGAGGCTCCGTCTCAAAATCCCTAGCATCAAGTTCCCTCTTGCTTCCATACTGGCATCCCCAATGGTCTTACCCCACATTTTTAGAGCATAAGCAAACATCGCATCTTCCGATGTCGACTCTTCGTCTTTCCCGTCGAATGATTCAAAAAGCCCTTTAGCCCATGAATGACCATGGAACCAGTCGAATCCACGAGAAAAGGGGAAAAGGGGATCATTGGTAGCGGCATTCCCTGCATCACGGACAAGCATATTGACCCAATCTTTGTTGCCTTGGATCCAAGATGGATCAAGGGACCCAATAATTGCAGCGGCATGGATGAAATAGCCGTAGTGAAAATGGTGGTCATTGTAATATGTGTTTCCAAAATCCGCACCAGAATCACCACCGTCATAACTAGCAGAAGACACTACTCCCTTCCATACATTGTCGTACACCAGGGGAAACTGCTGCTTGTTATCAATAAACCGAGCGAAGGCCGTCTTCAAGTCCTTCAGAGCAGGGGCTGCAAGGTCGGGCTTGCCACCCAATTTGTCCACGGCGTATACGAGCGTAGCGAATTTGCTGAGAGCTTTACCGCTGAAGTACATGCTATTCAAGTTGGACTGATTGCCGACGTCCTGCTGGAGCTCTGTTGGTGCCACATCTATGATGACTTTTTGGGCCGCCGGAGAAATTGTGTCGACGCTGCCTGCGGACACAGACCACGGTGCGAGTCCCATACCAACAGGTAGGTTCTGTTCCACCATTGACCAAGATTCTCCGATCACCGCGGTTGCATTGCCCTTCGTGGTCGTGCGCATCGTAATATTAGTCAGGCGGTCATGGGTAGTTTTGTCAAATGATTCCACGTGGTGTGGCAGAGCATACATCATCAATGGGGTGCCGCCTTTATCTTTGCCCTCCTTCCCCCAGGTGAGGCTGTATGTGCCCGTCTCACCAGATACAGCACCTTTCACCCAACCTTGTGTGGCATAGACACCAGACGAATTGTCGAATAGTTTCTCTCCCAAGGTACCTGATGGGTTCTTGGCCACCTGCACTGTTCCTGACCAACCAGGAGGCCCACGCAGGTTGGTAGTGGACTCCAGATGGAGATTGGGATCTTTACCATCATCTGGGGTTAGGTAAAGAAGCCACTGGGTCCCATCTGCAAGGTCCACGGTATATTTGAAAATACCAGCCCGTGGAGAGCCAGCAGAGACCACTTTGCTGAAGAAAACGCTGCTCTGAATGACGGGCTGAAGGTTTGAATATATCCCGGTGACAAACCCCATGCCCTGTACCACGGGAAAGGTGATCCTTTCGGAGGATCCACTTTGGGGTTGCAAGACAGCGTTCGCCGAGAATGGCAGCGGGTTCTCTGTCATAAGCACGGTAGAGTCCTTTAATTCCGTTGCCGATAATATAATCGACTGGATACCAATAGGGTTCACATAGTACTGAACTGGGCTGCCTGGTATCTTGTCATTCTTTGGCCCCAAAGCAAGCTTGTCTACCTCAATATGTGAGATAGCTATGCCGTAGCTTTTCGCATTTCCGTTCCCCTTTGCCCACGCAATCCCATATGGATGGGTGAAGGTTGTATTGGTTTGAGTCCCTAGGAACAATCCAGCATAGAACTTATTTGTTTCAATCGGGTCCGTGTTGTTCATCTGATAAAGTTAACCTGGATACAATCCTCATATACTGGGGACCCTTACTATGGACGCCCTAGGAACTGGGTGGTCATTCCGGGACTTCACGGTTCCGGGAATCGGGCCGGTAGATACTGGCACAAACACATCTTGACCGTTGACCATTGTCGGCATGCTTGTGCTGGTTGATGGACTTGGCTCAATGGGCGTAGAAGTATCTTGAGTCTTAGCTGGCTGACTCACGACGCTACTTGTACTACTCGAACTCGTAGATACGGGAACTGAGATGGAATTTGGAGCGGTGGTAGGCGATGGAGTGGTCTCCGCAGGCCCGTTTATTGTTTCCTGCGAATGTAATGGGGCAGATGGTGCAGGCGTAGCTACTGGAGACGTAGCCGGCTTTTCTGAAGTAGCTGGTAATATGCCGGGAAGTAGATCGTCTAACAACGAGACAGGGTTATATACGTTGTTGAGAAAACCGCCGAATCTATAGGGGTCCTCCTTTGGGTCAGGAGTAGGCTTCTGTAATTGATGGCCTTCTCGTTCAAGGATGGTTGGGTAGTACTGTCTAGTGTAAGTAGGTACATCGCTAACGGTTTAATATGCGCTTACACCTTGCGTCTCAGCCACCAGTAACCTGGCGTTCGCAGCAGAAGGAGGATACTGGGTTTTGAAGGAAGTGGTCGCTTCCTGCGTAGATGTTGGGGCTGAATGTACCGTTTCTGCAACAAGTAGCCCGGTTAGTATGAACGCAGACTGCCATCTAGATCTTGACTGCATCTTGAATGCGCCACAACAGACGTAGCCCGATGAATACCAAAGTGACTACTTATGCAACCACAGGCAAACAGACGAGACAAACAAAAGCAGATAACAATCCGAGTTGGCTGCTAATGAAACAAGAATAGATCCGAAGTTCTTTTTCCACGTCCGGTAAGGGGGTATCTTTGTTACAGATTCATGAACCCTCGAAAGGATCCAAGTATCCACAGAAGTTCAACGAGTACAAGACTTCCAAGACAGAATGCAGTCACAGGCCCTTAGCGGTAGCCCCAGTAGTGACTATGAAACTTGATGATGAAACCCGTGCGGGCTCACAAAAAGTCATCCGAAGTATACAGCAGCCCAGACTCTTGATGTTGAGGGGAGGTAGTAGAGAAAAAATGACAACAGCAAGAGAGGCAAAGAAATTGCTGGAACGAGAAGGCCATGCATGAAAAGATTAAAAACACTCACAATATAGATGTGGCTTACCCCCAGGAATATAGCTAAATACCAGTCGCACGTAGCAAGAATGTAGGCAAGTCCGAGCAGACAACTCCGTTACCGTGTGAAGGGATACCAGATGACACAGCTGTCTGCAGTGCGTTGCCTGCGATGTGTAACGAGAATGCCGATCTACATGGATGTCAGTATAGGAGGTGAAAACAAATACCGCTGGTGGGCGCCCAAATAGGAAGAGCAATGTAGGAGTCAACAATGGAATGCGCCGATCGAACTACTAGCGTGTTCTGCCACGCCTCTCTCCCCACCCACGGGTATGTATCCAATATACATGACTTACCTAGATGATAGAATCGATCGCCTGATTGGCTTCAAGTCAATGGTATGTCGTTGTTTGATGGTGGGATGCATCGAATTGAATGATCTTGCATGTTGCCGAAGGAAGCGGGAGCAGATGTGGAGCAAACTAGGCGACTAAAATACTCTAGACTCTTGGTTGTGAGAGCAAACACACGTGAGTCTCTGAATATACTTGAAAATGTCTGCAGGGTCCAGTACGAGACCGGGCCTTTCCCACGAGAACGATTACCATGAAGAGTGTCGTGAGGTGTATTTCAATCGAGGATGGCAATGGATGGGTGAATGATACACGGCGACAGTTCCGAAATCTTGGAGTGGATCGACATGACCGTCCATGTGGCCGACCACGAAGGCCGGTCTCCACCAATTCCCTTGCAGGGTGAAAATTAAAGTGTTGGGGTTATGTTACATAGATTGAACTCGAGGCGTAACGCGGCGAGGTACAGATGACGCTCGTGGCGCCTGACGGACGATAGACGCCTCAGGCAGGGAAGAGCTCACCCGACCCGATCACTTGTCCCACTACGATTGATATAGGGCTCGATACCTCCTCTCAAAGGTTGCTAGGTACCTTACTACTATAAGTGTATTATATAATCATATTCACAAGGGTCTCTACACTGGATATCTACAGGGGGGGGGGGGGGGGGCATAGACTCAAACTATTATCGCCAAATGTAAGCCCAATGCAAGCTAAATGGGAATCATAACTCTTTTTCTTATTTTGGCGGTCATTCAATCAAATGACAGTGCATCGTGATGTAGGCCCTGCAGTCTAACTATTCATACACCAGAAGGCAGAATGACAAGTAAAATAGAAGGCCAACGGTGTCAGCGAAGGCTAATTGCACTTCGTACGCCACCAACCGTCCTGTAGCCAACGTATTGTGATTAAACCATAGGCTTCTCCATCGGCTTGATGACGCCCTGTTTGATCATCACACGAGGCTTGGTTGCATTCTGCAAAGTTTCCTTCGTCGACCACTCGGGGCCAATCGGTAGACGGAGAGACCTCTCGTACTGTTGTCTGGACTCGAAGGGGTGAGGAAGCTGAGTGGCCAGGTATTTGTTGTTCTAGATGGAGAAGTGAAATGTTAGCATCTGATGATCGATCGGTAATGACACATCGCCTCAATCAGAGTCGTCTTACCTTCTTAACACGTTTCTCGTTGATTATGACGCGGGAGAGTTTGGCGTCTTTTCTGTTCTCAGGCTTTACACCTTCAACAGTGGTAAGGAATCGTTTCTGTCGCTTCTGCTGCTTCTTACTGATGCCATCACCCGCCCAATTGCCCCAGCCTGGCAAGGTATTATCAATCACTTGGTCATCTTCCTCCTTGATAGTGTCATGTTTCTCTTGTTCAAAGTCTTGCACAACCTCATCCCCAGCAAATGCTCTCTTGACGAGATCATGGTTCTTGAGAAGCACGGGGACGTTGCCGTCATCATCACTATCATCGCCCTCGTCCATATGTTGCTTTTTCGGAGGCATGGCCGGCTTCTCCTTCTGATTGTTGGGTATGGACTTGGACTTCGTGTTATCAGGTTTCCCTCCATCCACAGTGATGTCAAGCCCCTGCTGTGAATCATCCGCTGTTGTTCGGCGGTTGTTCCTACTCGTCTGTATCAACCATGGATTTTCATCTTCGGCAGCATCTTCTGTCTGGCTGAAGGACCCAGATATGCCACGTGCGCGAGACTTCTTATCAGATCCTGCTGGTTTTCTCTTGTCAGGCCGATTGACTACAATGTCAACATCCTGTTCTACCTCGGCAGCTCGAACATCTTCATCATCTGATCCTGGGGCCTCTTCGAACTCATTACGAGCCTGTGATTTTGATTTGCTCTCTGTGGCCGACTTCGAATCCTTAGAATGACCGAATTTACGTCGGCCAACCTCGGACTCGGCTTCTGACAGGTTTTCTTCTCCATGGAGTTCACGATTGAGACGTCGGATTTCAGCGTCGTTCTGCGCTTTGCGTGCAGCCTCCGCGTTCTGCATGAATTTCATCGAAAGCAGCTTGGCGTGAGGACCCTTCATTTCTGATTCGACATCACTGCCATGCTCGAGCTTATCGAGCTTCTCGCGAAGTTTACGCTTCTCCGCATCAGAGCTATTTTCTTCATTCCAAGGATCATCATCATCGTCAGATTCTGAACTCGACGAACCCAGATAGTCTTCGTCTCCATGCGATATACGCTTTCCTTCGATTCGCCGTCGTAACTCTTCCTCCTTCAAGGCCAAGTCGGCTGTGCCAAGTCGGGCTTCCTCATCCCATGCAGTCCGACCCGTCTGTTTGAGGCTCTTGGCCCATTTACTGTCCTTATGTTTTGAGCCCATTCTCGCTTCTGCCCTGCGCCGTTCGTTTTGCTCTCGTTCTTGTTCATCAATGTCCACGCCGGCTTCGAGAAGAGCCTGCCTTTCCTGTTGCTCTAACTTCTCTCGCTCTTTCCGATGCACACGACGGTATGACTTGCTCTTGATTTTCTTGATCCGTTTGGCTCGCACTTCTTCTCGGAAAAGCAGATCACGTCGTTTTCGCAACTCTGCTCTGCGCGCCCGAATCTCCTCAATAGGCAGTTTTCGCGCTTGTAGTTCCTCGAATTCCTGTACCTGGTCTTCAGCTGATTTGCCATTGGCTTCTGCCAAGCCACTCTCGACTAGGATATTTTGGATAGCGCTTTCGAGGTCCGTTCGGGGCTCTGCGGCACCTAAGCGGTGCGTCTGATCGCCTTCAGGGTCGGGAAGGGGAAACATAAGGTGTTCCGCCCTGCGATTGGCCTTAACAGTCTCTAGCCAGCGATCCAAGGTTTCCTTGCTTTTCTCATATGCGGCAGCTCGGTCCAGCCGGTCTTGTTGGCGCTTTGCAAGAGGAGCATCGAGCTTTCCAGGAACGCCGGACGATTTGTGCGTAGCAATAGTGGAATCAACATGTTTCAGGGAGCTCTTCAAGCGAGAGTCTGTAATAGATGGTAAAAGGTCGGCCACAGTCAATTTCCGTGTAGACGATAATCCGAATTCCGTTGGGTTGCCATGTTCCTGCCCGCCATTTACTTTGCGCGTCGACTTCTTAGTAGACTCTGTCTCCATAGAGTTGACAAAATCTTGGAGTTTCGAAAGACCGTACTCATTACCAGTATCCTCGTTGTCAGAGAGCTCCAGCTCGCTCTCATCACCGAAACTGCTATCGTCGTCGTCGCTTTCGGAGTCGCTTTCCTCTGAGTGACTATTATCATCAAATTCCTCGGCTGCTCTCTTCGCCTTCGAGGACTTTTTCTTTTCTGCTTCTTCCTCTTCTGCTGTATTCATATCCCAAGCTGTGATCAAATCCACTGCATCTTCGCCAAGATCATCTTCATCTTCGTCCATTTCGCCATCTTCAGATTCTTCCACATCTTCGGACAAGTTAATCTGGCGACCACGTTTCTTTGGCTCGGGGCCCTTTCGCTTCGGTTTATTCGAAGAACTTCCCCGGAAACTGAAGCCTTCGAATCTTTCCTCATCACTAGAGCCCATGGCCTCATCACTGTCCAGTTCGCTATCATCGTCACTATCGACCTCCCCAAGTCTCCACTTGTGGCCTTCCCCGTCACTACCGCCGTTTTCACTCAGATCGGATGACTCGTCACCTGTCCGACGACGCTTGTTATCGGGCTCGTCTGAATCGTCCATGTCGCGGCCGGAATGCCGCTTCCGCTTGAATAGATCATCATCATCGCCTAAACGGTTTCGCCGAATCTTTGGTTTGATGGGAAATTGAGCCTCTGCGATAGCAAGAGCATTCAAAGCTTTGCTAGGCTTTTTCTTTTGAGGTTGCTTTTTAGCTGATTGATCTCGGGGACCGCGCAACTGGGTTTGCTTGCGGGGCATTGTTGCGGGACCTTCAAACAAGTATTAAGAGGCAAGATCGTATAAAGAATGTATTCACGATCTTAACCATAGCCCTGAGAGCTTCGTATGCACTGCTCAACAAATAAGAGTGTGGCGTGTGGTAGTTGGAATATTGTTTTTTTTTTTCCCTTATCCGCAGATCAAAAAAAAGTTCAGGTTCTTGGCGGATAATGGACCTAACTTGGCCTTAGCGCCGCCGACTTTCAAATCTTTCCTCCGACTCCGACATTAGTATCATTGCACGTCTCCGCAAATCCATCCAGTAGGTTCTGCTGGCCAATTGCTCATAACTCCTCCACAATGTTCAAGCCTTCACAACCGATGATGGCGCGACTGCGCTTGACAACCAAGCAGGTCAATGGTGGCTACTATAAAGGAAACCGCACCGGCGCGATGGGTTATTTCGCGAAGAACGGCTCGTATGTGATCGACTGGAAAAAAGTCCGAACCTTTGTTGTTCCTGATAACTTGGATGAATTTAAGGTATGGCCATTGATCGTTTTCACTATGTTGTTTCCTAGATCTGGATAGTTGACATATGACTACAGCTTACCCCATTCGTCACGCAACGCATGGCCCCAACAAAGTCCAAATACACCAAAGACATGGAGAAGGATAGCAAACTGATTACAGTTGAACGAGCCTTTGGCGGGAAGGACTACCTTGATATGTGGGCTTCGGACAATGGCCAAGAGGTACTTGAGCAGGAGCGACTCGAACAACAGACACCCCATCACTAGTCTATTTCACCCAGGGATTAGGGAGATATCGGTGGGAGCTAAGGCAGGCCATCACAAGAGACTGCGCAAAGAAATCCTCAACCTCACTTCAACCTCTCGCCTGCGCACACCACTGGCCCACTTAAGGCATCACCGTTACCCGCGCCTACATCGCTTGATCTGAACGCTTTTGTATTATTATTATATTGTACTGTATGTGCGGTGTATGGTGATTTGGATAGGCTCGTGCTATTTTCAGGGAAAACCACCCCATTTTTTCACAAGATACCAAGTGGCAGGGAAGGAAGCAATGTCTCCTGGCTACTGTCACTACACCTCTTGGAATTTGTATACTCTTTTGCGGGCGCATTTCTGGGTTTTGCATCTCAGCCTCTTCATTTATCTTTCTTCAGCCATGTCATATAGAAAGACTTTGTCAGAATACCAAATGAATTAGATGATCTGATGAATTCCCTTGCGGCGGTGTCTGCTACCATGGACTCAATATAAAACTGACTTGAGACTGCCCAAAGCTGCAGTGGCACGTAGGATGTTCTTCTTCATTACCGATAAGAAACGGGGAGACGCCTGGAAACAAATATAAATAGTAACAATGCCTCCTTAAACAAAGTAGGTCTTCTCACTCATTCCATTCATTATAAATCCCGCCGATGGAAGTTTCGGTGGCGCTCAAGTGCGTGGCAATAATTATTATCCGCCATAAGGTGCGTGGCAATACTCGGAAGCTCTCTCAGAAGCGCACTCCGTATGTCATAGCGCAACAACTCATCGGACTTCCACCATCTTTGCGGATCAAGCCAACTTTGCCCATTTGCGATATGGGGGCTCTCTTATCTTGCTTCTCATAATTTGCAGCGACTTTTCAATCCGTTGAACCTGGTATCTTGAATATCCCCAAAGCCCGAGCAAAATAACGGAGTATGTTCCAGTCATTCACGGGTAACTCTCGCCGTCCGCGGCAGGTTAATCTCGGAGGTCGCAATACGAACCCTTTCGCCGCATTTCCTTCCGGAAGACAACACCCTCATGGCACAGGGCCCCAGAATACTCTGGCAGTTGCACAGCAAGAGCGCCTACTAAGGCAACAAGAGAGAGAACGGTTGGGCGCGACCCGGATCGTCCAACGGACATGGCGGGGTTATCGAAGTAGGAAGATAACGTGCGGTGCATGGCGAGCAGAGTGGGATGTCACTGAGCAACAGAGGTCACAACTGCTCCTATCATTCGATGAAATGACCCATGATGCTGTACAGACTTCACCTCACTATGCCACAGCAGCAGAGTGTCTGTCGCAGTTACGACTGTTGGTACAGTTCCTGGACCCGCGGAACAGCGGTGATATCCTCCGGCTCGCCTACTTTTCAAAGGCATTCCAAAACACCCTACGCAAGGTGCCCACTATTGCGACCAAAGGAGAGTGGACAACGCCTCTGAAGCGCTTGTCAAGGTTGACTCTACGCGTGCTGCATTCAGCTACCGCTCCGACAGTGCCAGCGATTGCCTTGTGGCCTCTTCTCGAGTTATTGATATTTTTGATGGACCTCATCCCAAAGCAAATGGCTCGCTTATCTCAAGAATATTACTCTGTAATGGCTTCTCTCACGATAAATATAGACGCAATCTCCTCAAGGTGTCTTTTATCGAGAGATAACCTCGTTCAAGCTGTTCTAGCATTGCTTCGACCGATAACCGCCGAGACGCTCACTGCCTATGAATGGTTTGCAAGGAGCTACTTGACTGTTCCAGATCTCCCGGCGTACCTAGGGACATTGGATGGGCTTGCAAACAATATCAATTATAAATTGCTGACGTCCGCGTTCGAGCCCTTGCAGTTGCATTTAAAAGACAGCCCTCAAACTCCGTTGATGTGGATGCCCGCCTCTGGCTACTTTCGTATTTTATATTCTTCCATAGGCATGCTCTGGGAAGCCAGGCCGGATACCAAGCACCCGAGTCTGGTTTTGTGAAGGTTGTATCGGACTTACTCAACTCTACTGCTGTGCATATATCGCGACGTCTCGAATCCGGGGAGGTCACCGAATTTGGGGACACACCTGAAAGAGCACCATTGCATCCATTTATTAAGGAACAGCTATTCAGCCTTGTCAACCAGGGGAGTATAACCGGGTTGCTTTCTGAGTTGCAATCTAGTCACTTGTCTCAACGTGACCTGGCAGATTCACAATCTGATGCGTCGCGGGAGGCGAGAATCCTTGCAACATACGCCCTGACTCTTTTGAGGGTGTTTCCTCGGCGAGGCGATGACATTCGAATGTGGTTGTATTTGGGATCCGCTATCTCGGATGATCACATGGCCGGCCAACCTGGGTCGAGAATACCGGCTATCAAATATTTTTGGCAAGCATCCAGGTCCAGTGACATCTTCAATACAATAAGCGAAGATTCAACGAAGGTACTGTCATTACTGAAACCAGCCAGCGATACGAATGACGCCAGGCTACCAACCATGTCGCCCAAAGAGCGTGACGAAGAGTGGATGATCATTCTCCTCTTCCTTGAGCTGTATACGTTTGTCCTCAAAGTGATGGATGATGAGGAGTTTTTCTCTAGCGGATCTTCTTTCACTGCTTCTTCAAATATGAGAGTTTCATGGACCAAGGAGAGCGCTCTTCCTTTGGAAGATATCAAGGATATGACAATATTCTTGAAAAACCTGGCATTTACTCTGTATTGGAACTCGGCAGATTTGAACGAAGATGAAACTTTTAATGACAGTGCAGGGATTCGGAGTTATTTCAGCTCCTCTGTTCCTCCATCTGACACCATTTCAAGCGTTCGGGATCTTGAAATGAAAAATAAGGAAAAGGGGCTATCTGGTGTGACGGGGATCCCGCTCGACTATTTCAAAGGCCTCGTGACCGGTCTGTTGAGGATGATTCATGAGCGTGATTCACGACGCAAGTTCCTCCCTGATGGGCACTGGCTGATGACCAACCGCTTTGACATGGAAGGTTTTATCCCTGCTGTTGTGGCGGAAGAAGAGAATAGACACCAACTGCAGGACGAGGAAGAGGGCGACGAACAGGATGATTTAATGGATGATGCTTATTATGAACCGTCATTGGGACTAATTGGTACAGGACGTGCCCAACAGACCCGGCGAATCGAAGCTCTTAGACGACGTCAACAACGAGCAGCTCGCAGGAAACAACTGGAGGCGGTGGCTCCTAGACTCGAAATCCTGAGAAACATGCCGTTCTTCATTCCTTTTCATACCCGAGTGCAGATATTTCGAGAATTCATTTATCGTGACCAGCTGCGCAGACGACAAGGGTTCATCGACCCGGATGCTTGGCGTATGTCTGTAGCCCAGGCCTCGATGGGGCGTATAATCGATGGGCGGCCCGCGGTGCAGGATATCCTTGGCCGGCATCATGCGAACATCAGACGCGAGAGAGTGTTCGAAGATGCATTTGATCAGTTCTACGAACTCGGCGAGAGCCTCAAAGAACCTATACAGATTACATTCATTGACAAGTTCAACACTCCGGAAGCGGGTATTGATGGTGGTGGTGTGACGAAGGAATTTCTAACCAGCGTCACGAATGAAGCCTTCAAATCCATAAGTGACTTGAACTTGTTTGAAGAGAACGAGCAACATCTACTCTACCCGAACCCAGCTGCGGTCGAGCATCGTCGCGAGCTCTTGAGACAGGGTGGGCTTGCTGAGAACGGCCCAGACTGGAATGACAATATCCGCGATTTGCTCAGGCGGTATGAGTTCTTAGGGCGAGTTATAGGAAAGTGTCTTTACGAGGGTATATTGGTTGATGTGAACTTTGCGCCGTTTTTTCTGCTGAAATGGGCTTTGACGGGTGGCACGGGCTCGGCACAAAAGGAAACAGCATATCGAGCCAACCTTAATGACCTTAAAGACCTCGACCAGGGACTATATCAAGGATTGGTAAGCGATGGTTGATGATAGAGACAACCTTCCAGTCTGCCAGCTAACCTTTCTATAGTTGCAACTGAAAAACTACCCAGGGGATGTGGAAGACTTTTCTTTGAACTTCACCGTTACTGATATCATACCTCTTTCGAACGGGAGAAGTCGCACGATCACTCGGGACCTCAAACCCCACGGGTCAGATATACCTGTAACGAACCAGAACCGGCTCGTGTATATCTCATATATTGCTCGATACCGTCTTCAGGCACAGCCCGCTTTGCAAACAAACGCCTTTCTCCAAGGTCTGGGACAAATTATACAGCCTTCGTGGCTGTCGATGTTCAACCAGTCGGAACTGCAGACCTTGGTTAGTGGCGAGTCAGGGGATATAGACGTATCGGATTTGAGGCGCAACACTCAATACGGAGGGGTGTATACCATTGGTGACGATAGGGAAGAGCATCCGACGATCCAACTATTCTGGGAGGTCATGCATAAGATGACCAACGAGGAGCGACAGAAGGTGCTACGATTTGTGACGTCTACTCCACGAGCTCCTCTACTGGGATTTAGTCACCTGAACCCACGATTCAGCATTCGTGATTCCAGTGAGGACCAGGAGCGACTTCCTAGTACGAGCACCTGCGTGAACCTTCTGAAGCTGCCTCGTTATACCAACGCCGACATCCTACGGGAAAAGCTTCTTTATGCCATCAACTCTGGCGCCGGGTTTGATCTTAGTTGAGCCAAATTGTGTTATTGCTATAGAGAGCCGGGATGGTAGGTATGATCGCACACACATAGACGTACAGATTATCCATTGCGCACAAAGTGAATAGTTACTGGTTGCATAGCTGTGGCGTCCTGGCGCAATTTAACTTGATGCTTGTTATTTTCTCTTTATTCGCTTCTCTTTGTATGGGACCTCTTCCACCCGCGTATTTACAGTTGTCGGAGTCTCTGGACAGGTACTAGTATTAAGGGTCAAGTCCATTTAGTAATATTACGGCTCATGCAGATATATTGAACTATGGCTAATAATGTTATTTTCTTTCATTGAAATGTTGGTACTCAAACACACTTGAAAATGTGATGGTTGACCAATGTTGCGTTTCCATACCATCAGGATCCAATGAAGAGGGGGGAGAAAGGAATGTCAATCGCGATAAGCCCTATGCGTCTTTGATTGCAATCTCGTGATTTGCCGGTAAGAGAGCCACTGCACAATGCACAATCCCCAATACTGACAATCAGAATAGCCCTGGATTCTTGAAGCGGCAACATGCACTAGTCCTGTTTGGGATTAGCGTCATCTTGGGCCAAAGAGAGGAAAAGAAAAATCCTCTTGACTTTTTTTCCAGAAGGAAAAAAAAAACAAAAAGCAAGAAGGCGGTCATCGCTTTCTTTTCACTGCATCCGCTTTTTCTCTTTCTTTCTTTTCTTCTCTTCCTCCAAAAAAAAACCCTTTCTGCTGCCTCAACCAGCAATCTTTTTTTTCTTCTTATCCCTCTTCTACATCCTTCCCCTTTTCTTTCGAAAATTGTCGAAGAAAAAATATTCAAAAAACCCGAAAAATTTAGAAAAAAGACATCGCCCCGGTTTCTATACTTTGAGGCGACTTATTTTCCCAACTTCTTCGGACTGTGCGGTGTGTGGAAGAATTTCCTTTTGCCGCCTTTTCTTCATCCCTCGTGATCGCGTCCTTCGCATCGCCATTCCTCTTCATCTCCTCCCTTTTACTACCGACCCTGTGTGGATTATAGACTTAGGTCGTACGTCTATCGCGCTGACCCCAGTCTTTTCCCTCTGTTTTTCTTGCCGTGCCCAGCTGGTCTTGCCGATAGTGTGACCTCACACACAACAAAACAAGAGCATCCCATCTCATTCATTCCCCCACACACTCTGTCTGTGGCTTTTGCTTTCTCTCACTCACACCTCTGGGTCCATGTTCAGTGTTTGGCTGAGCATTGTGACGGGAGACCAAATCACTGAACTGGAGGAGGGGCACACACGTTCACCTACCTTTCCCACTCATCATTTGTCCCACTTTCGATAAGGGTTATCTCATACTAATCTTATCCTTGCATCTGTAGCTCAAAGGAAATAAAATTTAAAGAAAATCATCAAAATGTCTGCCGACGCCTCTACCACCCCCGCTGCCGACAGCAATGTCACCAGCACCCCCGAGACCAGCACCACTCCTGCTGCTCCTGCTGCCGAGGTCACTGCTGTTGAGAACACCAATGCTCCCAACGCTTCCCAGCCCCACTCTGCCTCTCTCTATGTCGGTGAACTCGACCCCTCTGTGACTGAGGCTATGCTCTATGAGCTTTTCTCTTCTATCGGCCAGGTTGCCTCCATCCGTGTCTGCCGTGACGCTGTTACCAGACGCTCTCTGGGATATGCCTATGTCAACTACAACAACACCGCCGACGGTGAGCGCGCTCTTGAAGATCTGAACTACACTCTGATCAAGGGCAAGCCCTGCCGTATCATGTGGTCTCAGCGTGACCCTGCTCTGCGCAAGACTGGCCAGGGCAATGTGTTCATCAAGAACCTGGATAGCGCCATCGACAACAAGGCTCTTCACGATACCTTTGCTGCCTTCGGTAACATCCTCAGCTGCAAGGTCGCCCAAGATGAGTTCGGCAACTCCAAGGGATACGGATTCGTCCACTACGAGACTGCTGAGGCTGCTAACAACGCCATCAAACACGTTAACGGCATGTTGCTGAACGACAAGAAGGTCTTCGTTGGCCACCACATCTCCAAGAAGGACCGCCAGAGCAAGTTCGAGGAGATGAAGGCTAACTTCACCAACGTCTACATCAAGAACATTGACCCGGAAGTCACCGAGGAGGAGTTCCGCCAGCTCTTCGAGAAGTTCGGTGAGATCACCTCCGCCACCCTCAGCCGTGACCAGGAGGGCAAGAGCCGTGGTTTCGGTTTCGTCAACTTCTCTACCCACGAGAGCGCGCAGGCCGCCGTTGACGAGATGAATGAGAAGGAGATCCGTACCCAGAAGCTCTATGTCGGCCGTGCTCAGAAGAAGCACGAGCGTGAGGAAGAGCTGCGCAAGCAGTACGAGGCTGCCCGCTTGGAGAAGGCCTCCAAGTACCAGGGTGTGAACCTTTACGTGAAGAACCTCACCGACGACGTTGATGATGAGAAGTTGCGCGAGCTCTTCGGACCTTATGGCACCATCACCTCCGCCAAGGTCATGCGCGACACCAACATTGAGCGTACTGAGACCCCTGAGTCCGACAAGGAGAAGGAGAACAAGGAAACCAACAAGGAGAATGAGAAGGAATCCCCAGAAGCCGAGAAGGCCGAGAAGGCCGAGGAAAAGCCCGCTGAGTCCGGTGATGAGAAGAAGGAGGACAAGGAGTCCAAGAAGGGCGATAAGAAGGGTCTCGGAAAGAGCAAGGGCTTCGGTTTCGTCTGCTTCAGCAGCCCCGATGAAGCCTCCAAGGCTGTCACTGAGATGAACCAGAGAATGGTCAACGGCAAGCCTCTTTATGTTGCCCTTGCTCAGCGCAAGGACGTCCGCAGAAGCCAGCTGGAGGCCAGCATCCAGGCTCGCAACACCATCAGACAGCAGCAGGCTGCCGCTGCCGCTGGCATGCCCCAGCCCGTAAGTTTTCCTTGACTTGTAGTTACAACTTTGCACTCCATGCTAACGCTAGCTCTAGTACATGCAGCCCGCTGTTTTCTACGGACCTGGTCAGCAGGGCTTCATCCCCGGCCAGCGTGGTGGCATTGCCTTCCCTCCTCAGCCCGGTATGGTGATGGCCGGTATCCCCGGTGGACGCCCCGGTCAGTACCCTGGTCCTTTCCCTGGTCAACAGGGTGGACGTGGCATGGGCCCCAACCAGCAGCTTCCTCCTAACTTCCAGGGCATCCCCATGGGCGCCATGCAGGGCCCTGGTGGCATTCCTAACGGCATGGGCTACCCTCAAGGCATGGCTCAGGTGCAGTTCGGACGCGGTGCTGGTGGCCGTGGTCAGGTTCCAGGAATGCCCAACATGGGTCAGGGTATGCGTGGCCCTGGGTACGGACAAGGCCGCGGCGGTGTGCCCGCTCAGCAAGGCCAGATGCGTCCTGGTCAAGGTGGTCGTGGACAGAACGCCGCTCAGCCCCCTGCTGGACGCCCCGAGGAGCCCGTTGCCGGTGGTCTCACCGCCCAGGGTCTCTCTGCCGTCCCCCCTCCTCAGCAGAAGCAAATGCTGGGTGAGGCCCTCTACCCCAAGATCCAAGCTCAGCAGCCTGAGTTGGCAGGCAAGATCACTGGTATGCTTCTAGAGATGGAGAACACTGAGTTGCTTAGCCTGTAAGTGCCACATTGGACCCAAAACGTCTTACGCTTCGGAGCAAATTACTGATATTGATTAATCTAGGCTTGAGGACGAGGAGGCCCTGCGCGCCAAGGTCGACGAGGCCCTGAGCGTTTATGATGAGTACATGAAGAACAAGGGAGGCGAGAGCGAGGCGACCGGAGAGGCCGGCAAGCCCAAGGAGGCTGCCAAGGAGACCTCTACCGAAGAGAACAAGTCGTAAATTTTGTGTCTCAATGCGTGATATCCACGGTGGATTCGGACGGAGTTTTTGAACTGGGTCTCCCGACACGGAAGTTTTGATTCACCTTATTCTATTTTTTCTTTTTTGATGACCTACCCTTATCCCCTTTCTCGAATTAACGATACTCTTCTCTTATTTCCTCTTACCATTTTTCATTATTTCCTATTCCCCGCTGGTCCTGATATCCCTCGGTTTCCAAAAGTTCTTTGTTTAGCGGTGTCACCTGCCCGTATCTAGTGAGCGACACAGTTTATCGGATCCCGATGCTTATGCCCACTCCCTTGTGTCGGTAGTTGTGTTATGGTGATCCTGTACAAACGCACACTGGAAGAGGGGGAAAGCAAAGGAAAACCACATACATATTGGGATCGGAGAAAAGTTGTTCGGATGCCATGACTTTCCAAATTTTCATGTCACGAAGAGGGAGGAAGTTGTGATGTCTTTGCTCTTCCTGTTCCCTAACCTTACATACCTCGTCCTGCTATCTGCCACGAGTGTAATATAGACTTATGACTTCCTCACGGGATGCGCTTCTGTTTCGCTGTAGCCGTGTATATCTCCATTCTTCCTCCCTGTCGATGTAGTAGAGGCCACAGGAGACAGCGTAGCAAAATAGATCAGACCATTGATTCCTATCGTTAGTCATAAAACTCGTCATATCAACCAGATAGCCTGTACAGTATTTATACACAATCGCCATCCCGTTCAAAAACTCGGATACTGCTGCCCAAACATGTCAAACAGATTATCAAAGTTCGCCCCCTGCAACAAATCCACCATATTCAGATCGAAATCCATCATACTATGCGAACCACCCTCCGGAAAGAAAAGCCGGTCCTCCGGACTTTGCACCGTAGTAGGAGACAACAACAACCTATTCCCACCTTGTACTAAACCCGGCGGATTATCCGACACTTGTATCTCATTAGAGTACGATATATTCGAGACGCCCAAACTAGGGTCATTAGTATTATCGTCCTTGTCGCTAGGATGCTCCGGTCCATCATGGGTCATCTCGAAGCTTGCAGGCCCTAGTCGAGAATTCCTCGTAACAGGATGGGAGTGCAGGCGGCGTTTTTTGCGGGTTTCGGGGTCGTTATCGTCCTCGGGTCTGTGAAGGCTTGGGACTGTGCTCGAGTGTTGGATGTTTCGGGATAGGAGGGTTAATGCTCGGTGGCAGTTTTTGGCGGTTTCCCATTGCGGAGACATGAGTTGGAGGAAGTCGAGGCATTTGGAGATCTCTCTGTTTGAATTGGCTTAGCTTTGGGTTGAGA